CTTCCTTCCTCCCCCTGCCCTCCCTCCCTCCTTCCATCCCTCCTCATTCCCTGCTTTCCTTCTCCATATCCTTTTTGCTTTCCCCCCTCATCTATAAATAGTAGAACTAAATTCTGTTTGCTAATTCCTCCTGGTGCCTATCTGAATGGAAAGAAAACTTTGGATACTCACAGAAAACTGAGCTACAACTTAACAATACCTTGATTCTTAAATTGGAAATCACATTGTGCTTTTGCAAACAAATGGAATGACACACTTGTGGGTTTAGATAAAAATACAGAATGCACATATTTTAGAGTGATGGGAGCAACTCACTTTCCCCTAGCTCATGTTATCTTTTCAGTGACTTATTAATAATAACAGAATAGAGAAATTCCATCGAGAGCGTAGGGTCAACAGCCAAGGAGATGTTGATAGCCTTCTAGAACAGCATTGAGAGGAAAATCATCACTTAAAAAACATTCTTGTGCTAGGCCTGGGGCTGAACTCCTGGCCTGAGCATGGTCCCTGACCTATTTTTGCTCAAGGACAGTGCTCTACCACATGATCCACAGCTCCACTTTTTGATACCTAACTGGAGATAAGAGTCTCATGGACTTTCCTGCCTGGGCTAGCTTTGAACTGTGATCCTCAGATTCTCTTGAGTAGCTATTTGTGCCTGGAAAATCTTTACTTTTAATCTACTGCTTCTATTCCAATCAAATATAGCCATAAATCGGATTGTACTATATTATCTGACTATATATAAGGTATGTTACATATTATATATATATATATATTCCAAATACCACTGCAGTTTATTTCTTTATAGCACTAAATTGAGGAATACATTCAAAGTGATTCAAAACAAAACTGTTAATATAACACCATCAATTATTAGAATGCACACATGCAAATACATCATTTATTTGAATAAAGTTTGTAATCATTTGAGGTGCCAGAATAAATGTCTTAAAAGCTTTTGAGTCATCCCAGACTTGAAGTCAGACGCAGCTTACTCTATCCAAGCAATCCCAGGTGCTGGACACACACTTGGACGTTGGGGAGGAGAGAGCCCACAGGAAGGAAACGGAACATGGCTGACATTTACCTACACATGTGTCATGGTTTGCCTCAGAGCCGTCAGGACAAGGCTTCCTAACAGTCCTTCTAGTCCTGGAGTAAGATGTTCTGCTGTTTCTATACTCTGAGTAGGAGCTGTAGAGCTGTGAGTACTGTCTGTTTTGCTGTTGAGGTTGATAGTTGTTTCTCACAGGGGACAACCGCACAATGTTATAGCTACTGTACTGAGTGCCATAATTTGGCAGCCTCTCCAATCCAGCGCAAGATTTCCCGTCCCCTAATAAATGTTGTCCTGGTGGACAGATACACTGGAAGCTGCCGGGGGTGTTGGAGCACTGATGTGCACAAGGTCTAGGCACTTGTTCACATTCATTAATGTCTGCCCGTGTGCCATGATACATAAAAAAGAGAAAAAAAACACACATACATACACAAAACACAGGAAGAAACAATCAGTCTGTGAAAGAAACTGAGACATTACACTATTCTCCAAAAATCAGGGATGTAATAACTTCTCAACTCCTGTTGCATTTCTGATCTCTCAGTGATGAATATATTTAAACCCTTATTTTGTAGCAGGTGAGTCTGAAACATAGACACTGGTTCTGTGAATCCATGATTTTGCTTCCCCTTGTGATGACGTCAAGAACTCTATATTTATTTATCTCCTCTCTTAAAAACCACTTGGATATTATATTAGTTTGGGTTAAAATCTGGCACACATCAAAACATAGACATGCAGCCTTGGCATTTAAAATCACTTGTTATTGCTGTTGTTATTTTGAGGTATTTGAGTTTGAACTCAATCTTGCACTTGCTCAGGAAGGTGCTCTACCACTTGAGCCATGTCTCTAGCCTAGTTTTTTGGCTTTAGTTTCTTTTCCAGATAAGAATCTCATGCTTTTCTTGCAATTCTCCTACCTCCTCAGTATCTGGGATTAGAAGCATGAGAATTTTAACTCTTGCAAGTACAGCAGATAGTACAAGTACTGCAGCTGAGAGCTTTCCGAGTAGGTATGTGCTACGTTGTAAATATTTGTATATATTCCCCCATGAATAGAGATATAGAAGAGTGTGGAACCTTAATAGAATTTCCACAATAATATAGTGACTAAAACATCTCAGTAGAAAAACTCAGAATAAAATGATATGTGTACATTTCTAAGCTCTTTTCTTTTGTCTCTTTTTTTGGTTGGTCTTGGGGCTTGAAATCTGGGCCTGGGCACTGTCCCACAGCTCTGTAGCTCTACCACTTGAGCCACAGCGCCACTTCTGGCTTTTTCTGTCTATGTGGTACTGAGGAATCGAACTCAGGGCCCCATGTATGCGAGGCAAGCACTCTTCCACTGAGCCACCTTCCCAGCCCCTTTTGTTCCCTCTTTTGATGAATAGATCTTTCAAATGGATTTCTGATATTCCTGACATGTTTGGAAACATTTTACTTTGTAAAGATATAGCTTTTAAAATTATGTAATTACCTTCATGTTTCTTTCTTTGTATATGTAAATGAGCTTCATCTTTTCACATCTAGTTGTGCCCTTCTGTGATTTATTCTCTGCATTAAAGCCAGAGTGATAGTTTTCGAATGTAAATCTATCACATTGCTTAAGCCTTTTGATGTCTTCCCATCACACATTTAAAAGAAAATGTAAACTCTTATTCCTAGTCTCTGTAACCTTTCCTATCTTTACTCCAACCAGAGAGCAGTGGCCCTTTGGTTGCTTTTGTGTTTCTCTCTGAGGGACATGGCTGGGCTGTTGCCATCAGCCTGGAAGTCTCTTCTTCAGATATAAGGCTGGCTGTTCCTTCTCTTCATTTGGTCTCTGCAGAAGTGACTTGGGTCATGATGCTACTGTCCTAGCTTGGCTCATTCTATGTCCATGTTTTCACATCTTCATCACTCTCTGAAGTTGTACTGCATATTCATTTTGTGATTCTTCTTACCTCTTATGGAAGGAAAACTCTGTGAGGACAGAGACCCAGGCCACCCTATTCAGAGCTGCTATTCCACAAACCTTGAATGTCATTTGGCACAGATCAGGTGCTCAATAAACATGTGTTGAACTAATTGAGCAAATAGTTTGCCAATGTGTTAAATTGAGCCATTAACATCAGAAATGTTAGTGAAGGAAATGTGATCCTGAATACAGAGAAAGCTGAGTTTAAAAGCTAATGAGATGTTAGTCTTGTTGGTGGAGGGAAGAATGAGATTCTGTCTCTAGCTTTCACTTCATTATAATATCAATCACTAGTGTCTCTAGTCATCCATAAAATCACAATTTTAGATGCAGAAATATCACATAACTGTAGATTTTGAATTTTTCTCATCTATTTTGAATTAAGAATTTTAATTAATAATCAAACCACAAAATATTAAAAAGAAGGTAACAGGCTGGGAACTGGCGACTCATGCCTGTAATCCTAAGTACTCAAGAGGCAAAGCTCCAAGATCATGGTTCAAAGTCAGCCCAGACGAGAAAGGCTGTGAGAACCTTATATCCAATTAACTACCAAAAAGCCAGGAATGGATCTGTGTTAGAGTGTTAGCCTTGAACACAAACACTCAGGGACAGTGTCTAGGCTCTGAGTTTAAGTCCCACAACCAGAATACACAAAAACGAAGGAAACAAAGACTCCCTTCTTGCTAAGATAGAAATTCACCAATCCGGAAGTGGTGCTGTAGCTCAAGTGGTAGAGCGCTCACCTTGAGCTGAGGGACAGAGCCCAGGCCCAGAGTTCAAGCCCCACGACCGACAAAAAAAACAAAACAAAACAAAAAAAAAAGAAATTCACCAATCCCATGAATGGTATAGAAGTTATTTTTCTTTCTATTTATATAAAATCAAGTGGATTATATAACTGTAACTTATGTAAAGTAGAAGAAGTGAAAACCAGGGATCAAAGGTACATTCTTTATACCATTACCACAGTGATAAGAAAAGAATGCAAAAATGATGAGACCGAGCTAAGGATGGAACTTGCATGTGCAAGGGCTCAGATATGATCCCCAGCACTGTTGAAAAAAAAGATAGACTAAAAGTAAATTTTGCTTTAAAAGTGATTTGATTAGGCAATTAACAAAACAAGCATTTTAAATCTCTTTAAAGCAACAGCTATATGTTCTTTGTTGCTTATTCTCTAGTTCAATGTAATATATTCAATGATTGGTCAAATTAGTAAACACTGGTACAGCTGAATAAGATGTTAAATTATATGTAAACTGCAGTATCTAAATCGATGGTTAAAATCATGGGTTATCTATACCTGTTAAATAATTTCTTTTAAAAGGGTTTCAGGGAATGTTATTTGCTACAGGCAAGGTATTCTGCTAAGCATATACAAAGACAGAAAGCTTTATGGGAGAATTTGCTATAATTGTTTATTAAACTATCAAGCCAATTAATTTTTAAAAGCATAAAATAGCTACTATTTTAAAGAATATAGTTTTTTTACTGCATTTAAATATTAGGAAGAATACAATTTGCTAAGTCTGTTGACTATAAGTGCATTAGTTTTCTAACAATATATGGTTTCCTTTCTGGAGTTATTTTCTATTATGTTCCTTACTTTTGCATTTATTATAATTGGGACAGAAACAAATATTCTATTGGGAGAACTGAATGACATTTTTTTTAATCCCAGGGAATGACACATAGTAAACACTAATTATACGGTAGAGAAAGCAATAATTCATTTAAACTGCATTTTGTGGTTTTAATCCTTTAAACCTAAACTTTCATACCACATACAAGTATAGTTCATATTCAAATAAAATACACAAGTGCAAACATTTATATTTTGTGTATAGAGAAAACAATGAAATACTCTATTTTAAGACATGGTCTTGCCCAGGTTTGCCTTGAGAGCCTCAACCCAAATGATCTTTCTGCTTCAGTTTTCTAAGTGCTGAGATTAAAGCCTGTGCCACCATGCCTGGATTGAAATGATCTTGATAATTAAGTTGGCATGGCAATTATATCAAAGGTCAGTCTAATATAGTATTGATGCATTTAATATACACTCTGTAAATGATCATATTATCACTCAAAATGTCAAAATAAATTGAACTCAACATGAAGTCTCTGCTGAATTATGTTGTAAATTACCTGGACCACATGCCGTCTAGGTGCAGCAAGACAGCATGTGAGGAGGCAGAAGTGGTTGGTAAGTGGAAGTGACTCGATTAGCGCTTCATTACTCAATGACAGTTTCTGTTAACTTACCCAGACAGGGTCTTCCAACTCCTTGTGAGCGGTAACCTCTGGGGCACGCACAACGGTAGCTGCCTCTTGTATTCTCACAGATTTGGTTATATCTGCACTGATGAGTCCCGTCTTTACATTCATCAATGTCTACAGACACAGGGACAATAAAAAGTGATAACCTTTCCCTTTTCCAACCTAAAGTCATTGTATTTAAAACTGTATTTAAAATTCACACTTCTGTAGATTTGCCAGAGGTGATGTTTGCAGCATGCAGCTGAGATGGTTTTAATTTATGACTTAAGACTTGTGGGAACACCTGGAGTCAAGTCCCAGAACACCTGGAGTCAAGTCCCAGTTCTTCTAGTATTAACTGGCTCCTCTTGTTCCTCCTGCTTCTTACTAGGTAATTTTATTTTCTTGTTATAATATCTTTTAGTTCATCTCATTTCTAATTATCATAGATATAACAACAGCCAATATTCCGAACAGTACTTACAACTTCATGTAACTTTCTATGCTATTCTGAGTTGGTTGTTTCTCTTGAGTGAACAAAAATATTTATCCATATTCATCTGGTTAGAGCTGAAAAGTCTTTGGAATATGGTAGTTCGATACCACCATGACCATTAGTTTCATTATGATATACTAATTTCCATATACATCAACAGTTATCAACAAGTGTATCTGTTATCTATATTCCTACCATATTTTGTTGAGCTAAATTGAAGGTATATTCTAACTTTATTAAGGAGTATTTCATAATGATTTTTAAAATAAAGTTGCCATTTAATAAATGAACAATGTAAACTAAAATTTCTTTGTGGTTGTAAAATCTATCCAATGTCAGATAGCTGTCAAGAATGAGAAATACCTTTTGATAGTTTATCCTAGTCTGCAGCTATTTTCCTGTGTACAAGGCTTCTTTGCTTTCATTTTATATTATTTCACCAACAACTTGCCATTCAAATCTGTATTTAAATATGATTACTTTCATGATGCCTTTGATAATCACTCCAATTGCATATAATCACTCTCTTAGCTACTCTTACATGATTTTATTTTTTGATATCATTATGATGTTTCATTCCATCTTGTTGTACTGTAGTTCCATTTGGCTGTAGGAGAAGAGTAGGCCAATTGAACACAATAGATTTAAGTTTACAAGATCAGGAATTACACCTGCTGTTTTTATAAATCCTGCAGCTTCTAGCTCTTCTAACTCAAGTAGGTAGAAGTATAGTTTACTTTATTTTCTAATATTGACATGGTAAGAGTTGCTAAACTCTGATGATATAGAACAGACACACAAAGGATAAACTTTAGGGAAGATATAATTTATCTTATTATCTGGTCACTGATTTGATGCATAAAATAGTTCTGAAACAATTATATTAGGAACTTTTAATAAATATAGACATGCTTTCTTAACTTTACTATGATGTTTTAAATACAGATGCTAAGAGTCATATCAGAAGTGATGTAATATAATTCATGTTAATATTCAACTATGGAAATCAAACGTATAGTTGATGGGAACTCAAAACAGTCAAAAGTCTCCATCATGAGTTTCCATTTCCTGGAGTTGTCTTGACCTTGGGACCCTAAGCTCAAACATATTAGCAATTAGAGGTTCTGCTGGAGAAAAAGTTCCTTGTGAGCTTAACCTGTCATTAGTTCTTTAAATAGATGCCTTACATGACCGTTGGTGATAAACAGATCTCAGTGACTGAAAAAGGCCACCACTCACCAATGCAGGTTCCATTTTCTGCCTTGGTCATTCCATTTGGACAAAGATCAATGCACTTGTAGCCACCGCGGGTGTTCTTACAGTGCTGGTCTGGTCTACACACGTTTTGTCTACACTCGTTCACATCTTGATAAAGTAACAAAGATAATGCCGGCTGAAAAAATTATGTCTTCCATCTTTTTCAGATAAACAATTTGACTGGATTTTAATGGTGTCATAAGCAAAGACAGATGTCAGTTACATGATCACTGTAGGAGGTGAAAAGGCTGAAATCCCACAAGGTATGGAACACGTTTTACTTTAGGACAGAGGATATAAATCAAAATGAAAATGTATTGCTTTACAGAGCTGGCTGTCATATCAACTACTTACTCCTCTTGGAAAAATAAAATTGATAGTGTGTATGTACATTGATAGCATATACACTTAGTATACATGTACATCCATTTACATATATGTATGTATGAACAGTATATATTGGGGAAAAACGTGGTAAATAGAGAAATGTTAAAAGCATAACTATGTAATTAGAACATGAAAATTGTAAAACAGCACCTGAGTTCATTTTTTTTTGTATTTTGCGTAGATGCCATACAGAATGTGTGCACTTCTGAAAATGAATCAGTCCTGGGCACAGCCCGTGCCTTTACATCAGGTGGCACCAAGAAGTTACAGAGACCTGCTCTGCATTCAAAGCCCTTTTCTTACCCAAGCATCTTCTGCCTTTCAGCTGATAGCCAGGTTCACATCCACAGTGGAAGCTCCCTATGACATTGAAGCAACGCTGGTGACAGGGACTAGACTCCTGACATTCATTAATATCTGTTAAATAAAAGAAAACTTTCTTAATAGGCTGTTAGAAAACCTGAACTAGGTGTGAGAGGCATGGATCAGGTGGTAGAGCACCAGGCAATGAGCAAAAGCAAGCATTAGATACTGAGTTTGAGTCCCTGTCCGTGACGAAGGAAAGGAAAGAAAAAGGAAAACCTGAGCTAATTTATCCCGAATGCTTAATTTTTTCTTTTTTCTAGTGCTGGGTATTGAACCTGGGGACTTTCCATGTGAGGCAGACTTCCTTAACCCCACAAAGGCTTTTAACATTAACGATCTTGATAACAATTACGTTTAAGACCTCTAAAATGAAGCCAATACATTTGCTTTCACATAGTCCAAAAAAATCAATAGAATTAACTTCTGGAGAGAAATTCTCTCCTTAATATTCCTTCAAAGTAAATATTTGCTAATAGTTTGAGCTGTATGGAAAGAAGTCATCTACTGCAAGTCTTTCCCCTTTGCTGTTTCTGGAAAATTTAAGCTATGGATTTTTTGCTGACAATGTGTGATAAAGCCAGATGGGAAACAATGCTGAGGGGTTTTGCACTTGACCTTGTTTCCCCATTCTTACTGCTGTGAGCCCTCCACAGTCTTTGCCACCTTGAATCTGGCTGCCTGCAACAAGTCACCACTAGCAGATTCTTCTCTAATACCACCTGGCTCACAGTGTCAGTCACAGAAAGAAATGAAAGAAAGATAGAGAAAGAGAGAGAGAGAAAGAAAGAGTTAGAGGGAGGGAGGGAAGGAAAGGACTTTTGAGCACGTGTGTGTGTGTGTGTGTGTGTGTGTGTGTGTGTTTAGTCCCAAAGGAAGAGACCTCTTCTTCCATTTAAGAAAGTACCCTGCAACCTACCTTCTCCTTACTCACTAAGATGAAGATTATGACCCATTATTCATTCCCTACTCTTATGATTTAAAAACCAAAAACAGTCCTTCTTTTATACTGTCATCTTTTCTCATAAACCTACAGATGTAATCAACTCTTGTCCAGCATCACTCAATCCTTCCCTAAGGTCACTGACACACCTCTCAAGCTCCTACCCTTTCTATTGTTCTATCTCAACCCTCCCCCACCAAAAGCAACCAAGCAACCATCTTAGTTATGTTCTTCGTATCTCACTCCACATTCCAGATTTTGAGGATGCCAATGTCTCTTATTTTGCTATTGTTTTCTTTTTATTTGTTTGTATTTTTATTTTCTACAAGTAGTTGTACAAAGGAGCTACCATTCAATAAAATGTTAAGTACAATGCATCTTGATTGATGTCACCCATTTTCTCCCTCCTTCCCTCCCTTCTTCCTCCTCTTTCTTCCTTCTCTCCCTTCCTTCCTTTCTTCCTTCTTTCCCTCCCTCATACCCTGCTTTTCCTTCCTTCCTCCTTTCCTTCCCTCCCTCCCTCTAACTCTTTCTTTCTCTCTCTCTCTTTCTCTATCTTTCTTTCATTTTTAATAAATTTTTATTGTAAAATGCTGTATAGAGGGGTTATAGTTACATGAGCAAGGTAATGAGTACACTTCTTATCAAGCATTGTTGGCTCCTCCTTTGCTCTTTCCCTACCATCCCTTCCCTCCCACATCCTCAACTACTAGTAAATGTCTGGGACAAGCAGAAAAGGTAAGATAAGATGATGTTAAGTTGAAATGAACCTCAAGATAGGGACACAAGTGGTTTTTTTCTTTTTTGCTATTGTTTCTAACATATTTATAAGGTACCACGTGATTTTTTTTGTTGCTTTGTATGTCCCTCCCCCACAGTATGACCCCTGTTTTCACTGTATTTGATGTTGGTATAATTTGGGGAGGGGAAGGGAAAAAACCAAATTGTTTAAATAGGGATACAGGTGGCCCACTGCAACAATGAGATGTACAAGACGCTATGTTGAAAAACGATCTTTCTTTCTTTTTTACTTTTTGTTCCAGTCCTGGGGCTTGAACTCAGAGCCTAAGCATTCTCCCTAAACTTTTTTATTTTTTTTTTGATTCCGGTCGTGGGCCTGAACTCTGGGCCTGGGTGCTGTCCCTCAGCTCTTCAGCTCAAGGCTAGCGCTCTACCACTTGAGCCACAGTGCCACTCCCAGCTTTTTTTCCTGCTTATGTGGTGCTGAGGAATCGAACCCAGGGCCTCATGCATGCAAAGGACGCGCTCTACCACTGAGCCACCTTCCCAGCCCTCTCCCTAAACTTTTTTGCTGAAAGCTATCTCTCTACCATTTGAGCTACAGCTCTGCCTCTGGCATTTTTGGGTAGTTAATTGGAGATAAAAGTCCACAGAGTTTCCTGCCAGGGTTGGCTTAAAACTTCAGTCTTCAAATGTCAGTGTCTCCCAAGTAGCTAGGATTACAGGCCATTATAGAGCTATTAGAGCCTGGCATCATTTTCTTTTTGGGGGAGCAGAATTTTATTGATATTGATCTTAGAATCTGGACATTCTCAATGCTACTATATATTTCATATATTTTGGTATAAAATTTCTTTATTACATTGCATATAATCTTTTTTTATATAATCATTTTTGAATGATGGAATATATGACTTAATATTTACTCTGACAGATATATTGCTACTAAATTTACTACATTTAAAAAGAGCTTTGTATTAACAGCCATTGGTTAAACTGTATATTAATATTAGAGAACTGTAATATTAATTTAGAAGAGCAAGACAATGACATGTCTTCTATAATTGAATAATTATTTTATATACTTGTATAATTTAATTATACTTTATATACTTGTACACAACATAATTTTCATATTATGTCCTCAATTTCAATTAAATGTCTATTATTTAACTATATCTATGGGTTTATATATTTACATATACATTATGGTACATTATTTCATACCAAGAAATGTGCTATCAAGCCAAGAAAAGACATGGAGGGGATGCTTAAATTCTAAGTGAAAGAAGCCAGTTGGAAAAGGTTATATACTAGATCTCAACCTCCTGAATAGCTAAGATTCCAAATGAGAGCCACTGGGGCAGGGCGAAGGCCTCCATTGTTTTGTACCTTGACAACTCAGTCCATCAGAGGTTCTTCGAAAGCCAATTCCACAGTGGACCACACAGCGATAGGATCCGATCGTGTTGTCACAATCCTGACCAGTGCGGCAGGCATGTGAACCCAAAGAACACTCATCAATATCTACAACACAGGGAGTCATGCAATTGAGGTGAGTTGAAGAAAACCCAATCCAAGCTATTGCTACAAAACAGGAATAGGAATGATAAGTGAAATAAACACCAAGACTGACAGTTTTTTAATTTGAGCTCTTTCAGAGGGTTAAATAGCCGATAGGCTCATAGCAGCATGACGTAATGGCTTCCTAAACCAACCAGCAAGCCATTCTAAATAAATTGGTTATTAGAAAGCAACTTGTTCTTTCTGAGATCTTGTGTGAGATGTTCCAGGCATCTCTGCTGTCTGAGTGCTCATCTAAAGGCAATGTCTGATGAGCGTTTTTTCTTTCATACTTTCTCAACCCATTGAGGATCTTCCTGTTGGTTTGAAAAGTGTGGGCAGTGGTAGGGGAAGAGGAGGATTGGTTTGTGATGCTTTCCTACATCAAAGGTTGCCTGGTCCATTGCTTAATGTGTCGGTTGGACTTAGCTTTGTGAATACCTTGACAAGTCCGTCCATCAGCAGCAATGGTGAGGCCACTGGGGCAGGAGCAATAGTAGGTTCCCATGGCATTGTGGCAGGTGTGGGAGCAGGGATTTCCTGCTGTACATTCATCTTCATCTGAAAGGAAACACGAAGTGGAACCAATGTATAAAACCTCTTCTTTCTAGGTCTCAAAGTCAGTGAATATTAGTTGCTTATAGAAGCCAAGAAGTTGAATCAACTATAACAAGCAAGCTCAAGTGCCACAAAATGGACTTAGTGAATACAAAATAACTAGAATCTCCAAGGTATCTTTGATAGTGAATAAGTTGTTCAGATTTAATGACAGCTATATTTGCCATGTACTATGATCTAATTACTTTTTTTAAACCAACTTGAACTCATTCTTCATAACATTTCTAAGAGACAGATTTTTTTTTTGGTCCGGTAGTGGGGCCTGAACTCTGGGCCTGGGCACTGTCCCTCAGCTCTTCAGCTCAAGGCTAGCGCTCTACCACTTGAGCCACAGTGCCACTTCTGGCTTTTTTCTTTTTGCTTATGTGGTGCTGAGGAATTGAATCCAGGGCCTCAGGCATGCAAGGCAAGCGCTCTACCACTGAGCCACCTTCCCAGCCCGAGACAGATTATTTTTACTCCTACACTTATTTCACATGACAAAAAGGTTAATGAATTTCCTCAAGATACTGAGATCATATTTGCCAGAAATGTCATTTGAGGGCAGGCTAAAGACCACATTGTAATCATGAGACTAGATTATATTGCCTGGCTGTGGAGAAATAGTGCTGTGTAGGCAGATTTGAGTTCCTCAAGCCATTTACTTAACTGTTCACTTATCTTCGAGTCTCCTGGACTTGATGGGAAAAAGATGGTTTGGTCTTTAGTCACAGATTTGCCCTATTCTAAACTGAGCAGTTCTAGGGTTAAGTGACTTAGTGCTGGATCATCCAACACACTCCGCAATCCAGCTGCCAGTCAGTATTGCCTCCACTCACAATATCTCTGAGTTTGGGCGCTAGCTTTGACACAGTTAATTAAGTCACATTATACAGCTGAATGTGTCTGGGCTTTGTATTATAACTTAAATCCAAATCCATTCCCCTTCTCCCTCTCCTCCAGGCCAAGTGATCTTACCCAATTTATTTAACATCCTATCTAAATTCACTCCACTGTCAATTGAGAGAATAAGATTATAAAAGAATATTGCAATGATTAATACCTAATAAAATGGTAATAGATGCCCATTAGATAATGATTGCCATTGACATATAAAAAGTAGTAGAAAAAGTAGTTATACTTACCAGCACAAAAGGGTCCAACTGCATCTAACGTGAAGCCAGAGGGGCACTGGTTGCTACGATCACCTACCACAGAGAGAAAAGGAACGTTTACAGAGTAGAGGTTTAGAACAATCCTTCCTGGAAAGATATGTCAAAGACAAAGCCCATGGTGCCAACATAGATGGAAACAAGCAAGAATGCAAATTTTTCCCTCTACAAAAATTAAATGAATTAGAGTCCAGACACTGAGGGCAAGCTGCTACTAGAATCAGAATTTCTGTTTAGATTGTTTACCACCATCAAAAAATATTAAATGAAAATAAATAAAAATTTAAAAAAGACAAGATTATATGCCACAGGCAAGGCCTGTTCTTCCAGCTATTCTGATTTGTTCAGGGAGGAGTCCTATGGGCAATAACTAAAATAATCCATGCCAGTGAAAAGGAGAAGTTCCACAAAGAAGCCCCTCCTTCTTTTGGATCTTTTCCATTTACAAGGTTGACCATTGGCACTAAACTATTCTGTATAGAATCATTTTTCCTGTTCTGTATAGTTAAAAGCCATGGGAACATAAGATTCAAGGAGGGATTAGAAGAAAATACACAAGAACAATTTGGTCAAGAGTCTCTTTCCTGATAGCATGCTAGTCTTCCTGCTTGAGCAAGGGCATGGAACTGAGACTGATGGAAGAGGACCATTGCGGGTACTAAATGATTATTGAAGTTGCTCTTTGCTGAATTTATACGGATCACACCATCACTGTTGTTTCTGTACCTTAGTTTCAGATGAGGCATTTGAATCTAGGTTATAGAAGTTGTCTAGGATCAAAGAGCTATTCAGGACCAAGATTTAGACGAAAATCTGTTTGACTTGCAGCCACTGAATTGGGTGGGGATGAAAAATTGTGTTTATTCACTTACTCTTAACTTCTTAATCTAAACAGTGTGTTGTGTGGGGCACTGGGTTCATTATGTAACATGAACAAAATCAGTCATAGTAGCTATAGATTTTTTGTTTTAATAGGGAAAGACATTTTTAATGGGTAGCACTTGTGTTTATTTTTTTAAGAGATGCACTGATAGTCTGGATGATAAAAGAGGCCTATTAAAATTTAGTTAAGTGGGGATGGCCTGGAACAGGTTTTACAATATTGCAATGTATAGAGCTGTGCTGGAAGACATTGGTCCCTTGTCCTGCAAGACTTTTCTGAAAGTAAGGAAACTGTAACTAGTAATTATCTGTGTGCCATATGTGAAACATTCCTCACAGGACTTAAATATATGATAAATTCTCAGGAGTGGAACTGTTATATGAATTGATACCTGATTGTACATTGCTTTTTTTGAATGTTATTAAAACTTATTAAATGCATCACCTCATTCCTTAAAAAGTCACAGTCAGATTCTATAGTCTCAGGTATAGAACTATTGGTCTTTGTCCAATGATATTCATATTGACACAGAAAGTATTTTATTATGAAGTGTTTTACTTCTTTATATAAAGAAGAATGTTATTTTGAATTGTAGTAGTTACAATTTTCACTTTTATATACTAGGGGGTACACAAAATATTTATGCCATAGAAATGCATGAGAATAGAAAACTTAGAAAGTATAAAATAAAATTCCCTATGGTTTTTGCCATTTTGTAAACAACACAGTTGTGTGTTTACATCTGACACTTTTGCTTCTAGTCATTTTTATGGAACCACACTTAAAAAGTATGGAAGTAATAATAATTGCCAAGTTTTTCTAATTAAAAATATTACTGAGAGTTTAATGAAAATGCAGAGATGCAGGAATAGCCTTTTAACTCCTGTAAAGATTTCTCTACATCACTCAAGTGTAAGTAATCCAGGTTTGGGTTGCATATTGATGATTAAGTCATAAACATTGTTCTGCTTTTTGATTATTAAGTCATAAACATTGTTCTCCTTTCCACTTGTGTAGTTATACTGCCAATACCTAGAACAATGTCTAGTACATGGAAGGAAATCAATAAATACCTGTCAAATTAATAAGTTGGAAATTTCATAAAAATTGTTTCCATGATTATTTAAGCAATTAACATATTTGTGTCACAATTTACATATTAATTTCCTATATTTAGAACATTCATTAAATTCTATTCAAAACAAAACTAGATGAGGCTTCTTCTGGAACATTCATCTTGTGCTGTTTCTGTGATCATTCTTGGGACAGACTCTAAAATGAAATCGGTTGATTAAGTCATTGAGAATACATGCTTGCCCCCTGGTGGTCACTGAAAATCAAATCACAGGTATACTATTATTTGAAAGTCCCAGGCACTTCAACAATATATCAGTTGTATTTCATAGGATCATAATGCCCAAAGATAGTAATAGGCTTAATGTTAAAATGTAATGGGTTAAAGTTAAAAATGATAGCCATCTTTTTGTAATTAGATGGAAAACTGAAAAGAGAAGAAGCAAAGTTTAGATTAGTACTGTAGACATAATTGGAGAAAAAGAAACAACTTTTCAATCTCAACAGTGCTTTTTTCTTTTGTCTATGTTTCTTGAACATACACAACAGTTGTATAAGGAGAAGGTGATGGTGTGAGTTGAGGGGGTATGGGATATGGGTCCCTGTGATAAAGAGATCTCATGAATCTGTTTATAATAGTGAGTATCTGCCAAGAGCTAGTGCCTATAATCCTAGCTACTCAGGAGGCTAAGATCTGATGATTGTGGTTCAAAGTCATTCTGAGCAGTAAAGCCCATAAGACTCTTTATCTCTAATTATTCACCAACCCTCCTCTCTTCCCAGAAATGGAGCTGTGGCTCAAGTGGTAGAGCACTAGCCTTAAGCACAAAAGTTTAGGAACAGCTCCCAGGCCCTGAGTTCAAGCCTCAGGACCTCCCCACCCACAAAAGTGTATACCTATTCTCCCAGATTACTACAATCTTAAATTTGATGAAAGAGTTCTGATAAATACTTCAGGAGAACATGAAAATACAGTCCTGATGAAAGCAAGAGTAGACAGAAAAAGTGAACTTCTTGTTTTTTTTTAATTGGTAAGATAATAACAATGTTTATAAAAATCTACTGGAATATATTTTAGGAAAGGCAACCCACAGCAACACAGATACACAACACACATAGATAATGTAAATCCTTCTAATCAAAGTCATGGAATCCTAAAGTTCAAAGCTAAAGATCACGTAAACCCCAATTATTAAACAGAATACTGAATACTAGTTGCCCTGGTGCCCCTTATTAGTGAAAAAGAAAAATCAACAAACAGACACATCAAACAACCACACACCAGAGAGACCAAGAACTGTAGAATTGTGCTTGACAAATGGAAAGCAGTTTAAATATCATAATCTCCAGGAACAAGAAATGACGGTTAGGCCTGTAATTTTTGCTGCACAGTTTTAAAAAACTGCTTTACCTCAGGTGCCCACATATTGTAAGTTGGTGTCTGGGACAGTTTCATTGAACTAGTCCCCCTTTTCATGTTCAAAAGCATGCTAGTTTGGATGATACATTTTATGGCCATATAATCTAAGCTCCCAAGTGGTTGGATATTTTGTCTTGGTATTAATTCTTTTATTTTCATGTTTTCTCTGTATTTTATTTCCAGTTGGACCAAACTAGGCTGGACTTCTTGAGTAACAATTTCCATATAATCAACTAAGAAAATGAGGATATTTTGGAGGCTGTTTTTAAAATAGGGAAATGGTTCTTTTGACTATTTTATGTTAAGACACATGTTTTTTTCAGTACTGGGATTTGAAGTCAGGGCCTTAGCACTTACAATTCAAAAGGCTCTTTGACAAATATAAGAGATGCAGAACAATAACACTTAACATTTTTGCTCACAGAAAAATAATTTTGACATATTATATATATGTATTATATATTGTATATAATATATATTCTAAACCCCCTTCAAATATACATATAGACTAGAAAACTCTACTATGCAGTATAGAGAAGCATATTAGTAAACTAAATTCATGAAGACTATAATTGGATTAGTTTTACCATACGGCCTTGCCCAAAAAAAGGAGACAATGCATGTAAAGCACTTAAATTTTCTTACCTCTAATGCAGGCCTTTGTTTCCTTATATTAAAGGGCATAGTTGTAATTATTTTTACCCTTTTAGAAAGGACTAGATGGTGGCATGAAGATATAGATTTCTGGCCAGAAGCTGGTGGCTTATGCCTGTAATCCCAGCTCCTCAGGAAGCTAAGATCTGATGATTGTGGGTTGAAACAGTCCTGGATAGAAAATTCCACGAGACTCTTGTCTCCAATCAACCAGCAAAAAGCCAGAACTGGAAGCATGGTTCAACTGGTAGAGTGCCAGCCTTGAGTGAAAAGCTAAGGAGCAGTGGACCCTGAGTTCAAGCTCTGGTACCAGTACACACACGCGCGCGCGCACACACACACACACACACACACACACGGACTTCCCTTTCATTAAGTTACCTTTGGAAATTGAGGCATGGAGTTTAAAACCCAGAGTCTCTTCTATTTGGTTATAGTCAGATTCCACAGAGGATGCATACAGTGTTTCTACCAAAAAAGGCATTCTTCCCCGTGTCTGATCGTAGAAAATGGTATGGTTCCATGTGTATGGGATGCTGATACCATCAATGGCGAAAAGCCGGGTGGAATGGGCATAGAGCTGGCCGGGGCCTGTTTGAATGTAGTCCTCTGTATAGTCCTAAAGAGGAGGATACAGAGTCCAAGTTCAACATGGCTTATAGTACTTTTTGTTTTCTCTCACTGAAGGGTACTATGAGATAAAGAATGAGGAAAAAAAGACTTAAGAAGTGAAGAATTCTAAATAAAATTGTGATGGTAGAGAAAGTAGGTAATATCTGGAAGGGTAAACCATTTCATTGTAACTACATGAATTCTGTAGTTTGCTGTCATAAATTACAGCTTAATAAAAGACTGAGAGGAATAAAGCAAAAGGATAATTGTTAATCATTCTTTTAATTTCTAGAAATCTTTTATGTTAGAATTACTAGTCTCTCTGAAGAAAACTAAACAAATGCCTCCAATCAGCAGAGGAACACTCTTTTTTTAAAAAAAATGTGACAAATTAAGCTTTTATTTTTCAAATGCTTTCTTTTTTAATTTTTATTTATTTTTTATTGTGAAAATACCGTACAGAGGGGTTACAATTACATGGGCAAGATAATGAGTACATTTCTTATCAAGCATTGTAGCCTCTTCCTTTGTTAATCCTGATAAGATAACAAAATCTCTGAAGGAGTATCCAAAAACTTGTACCCAAAGATTTTTCAAACTGAGACCAGATAATTACTTATGACCTTTCTGGCTTAGTCTTTGGGAACAAAGAAAAAGGATCTTAGCTCTCTCAGCTCTTCTTATGACTCTCTGACCATTACACTAACAATCAGAAAAACTGTCTTCTATAGAAAAGTAGATTACCTTCACATTGACTTCAGCAGGTGACGGAAGCTGGAGGACATAGCCACTCACGACCACATCCAGCAGCAAGGCACCATCAGGATCCAGGCCCCGGGCGATGTGAGTCATCCGCAAGATTTCTCCTGAGAATGACATTGCATGGACAGAGCATAGTTATTTAAAACAGCAGTTCAGCGATGTGATTTGAGTTCAAACATGAATGAATAGAAACTAGAGAAAGTATCATTCAACCTCTCAAAGAGTCAGGCTTCATGCATTCTATCTTGTCCTAAAATGTCTTTTTTTTAAAACAAGGCAAAAAGGTAGCATATGATTATGTGACCAACCCCATACTTTAAACTCACAAACAATAACAAAACATGTCTACAAACATGGATTGCTTTTTGGATGGGACCAAGAACCTCACAAGACTAATTGACAAAGACTACAAGTATGGCCACAGGCTTTTGTACCAGCTAGTGCTTCAAAGTAGCACAGGACATCTTAGTAAGCAGAAAGCATTATAAGAAGGTCTCACTTATCTTCTGGATTAGTTAATACTAATTACAGACAATTCTTCTCTCTGCCTTAGGGGCTGAACAACTTGAAAGAGGCTCAAGATGGAGATCTAAGGTAGAACCTTGTATGATCACATATATTAATATTAATATATAAGATTGTACCAAAAACTTTGTACTGTTGCTTAGTGGAAACTTAGTTTTTCTTAACCACCAACCTTCATAGCCATCATTTTTTATAGTGCTACAGTGTTGGGTTCAGATGACACTAACCAGTAGCAAATTCCACCTGTGTTTCTCTTTTGAAGATGGCGTTGGTGAGGGTAAAGCCATTGACTGCCTCTCCTATTTCTTTGGCTGTTGTCCAGTAAATGGGATTTAGAATAGAAACTATCTTTCTCATTGCTGGGCCTAAGAAGGGAGGAGGATAAATAAGGTGACAAAGAAAAATATTTAGAGTCAGTTGTTATTGTTTTCATAGTATATTGTTTCATAGTATATATATTTTCATAGTATATATATTCACAATGATGAATACTAAATACTGGGCTAACACAAAATAAATACCAGTTCCTCAACTGTCTTTAGGAGCTTAACGTTGTGACAGAGCTAAAAACTACTAAACTTGATTTAGTAGTAATACCCTTTAGAATCATATAAAGAATAGCATGTTTTTAAAAAGACATTTAGGAACAACTTTTATAACAGACTTACCAAGACTGCGAGGCACATTGGTAATTTTGGCATGGATTATTCTAGAATCAAAGTTAGGGCTATCTATTATTGTGGCATTAAGGAAAGCAATTCCAAATTCAACATCATTAATATTTCCAATAACACTTCCTCTGGCTCTCTGAGGCCCACCTGTTGAGGGAAGAAATAAGACTGCTGGCTAAGGAAGCGATTCCATCAACATTACATAGGAGAGAAAAAGGCCAATGGTCAGAGACGCTACAAATCTTCATGAACATTGAAAAGGCCCTTCAACATCTGAACTTAAAAATGAAACCAATAAGCTTTAAAAATATTGTACTTTGATGTGACATCCATCATCCCCCATAAATCTAAGGTCTTTCCAACCTATGCACATTGTCGTATTATTTCATAAGCCAAAGAATACAGTAGTGTCTAGTACCATGACCAAATAATGTGTTTTTTGGACAGTGAGGAAATCAGGAAGATGATGAGTTCACCAGTATCTCCTGTGAAGCGGTGAATAATAAATGTGTGTGTGTTTTTAATTCCTATCAATAATCCTAAAAGATAGCTTTAAGTAGACAGAACTTGCAGATTAGGAGAGAAAAGCTCAGAAAAATCAAGCAACTTTCATAGCATACCTACATGTTATCTACTTGGCACTAAAATCCATGGATATATTTTTTTTTCTTTTCTTGGGTGGGACTTATTTATTGAATTTTTAAAAATCAAATTGTGTATATTTATCAGGTACAATGAGCTGCTCTGAGGTATACATACATTGTGAAAGTCTAAATTGAGCTAGTAAGCACATTGGCTACCTTGTCTACTTACCTTGCAGTAAGAACACATAAAATCTATTCTTAAAAAGCATTCCAGAGCTGGGTGCCAATGGTTCGCACCTGTAATCATAGCTACTCAGGAGGCTGAGATCTGAGGATCATGGTTCAAAGCCAGCCTGGGCAGGAAAGTCCAGGAGACTCTGATCTCCAATAAACCACTCAGAAAACTGGAAGTGGTACAGTGGCTCAAGTGGCAGACCGTTGCCTTGAGCTGAAGAGCTGAGGAACAGCCCCATGACCACCACCACCAACAATAACAAAAAAGCATTCCAGAGCCAGGTACCAGTGGCTCATACCTGTAATCCTAGCAACTCAAGAGGCTGAGATCTGAGGATCTTGGTTCAAAGCCAGCCCAGGCAGGAAAGTCCATGAGACCCTTATCTCCAATTAACAGCCAGAAAACCAGAAGTGGTGCTGTGGCTCAAGTGGTAGAGCACCAGCCTTGAGCTGAAGAGCATAGGTACAGCACCCAAGCCCAGAGTTTAAGCCCCACAACTGACAAAAAAAGCATTGCAGAATATAACCCAATTATAGGAAATGTATAAAAGCTAATTCATAGAAATAAAGAATATAGCCAGGAGCTGGTGGCTCACCACATGTAATCCTCCTTACTTAGGAGGCTGAGATTTGGAGGATTAAAGTTTGGAGCCAGCCTGACTATAGATCACCAATTAACTAGAAAATTAACTAGAAAAGTACTGGGCAGGAGGCGTGACTCAGGTGGTAGAGCACCATTTAAGCGTGGGAGCCAAGCAAGTATAGAAGGCCCTCAAGTGAAACACTGGTATTGGCACAAATAAAGCCTACAAACAAACAACTACAAAGAAATAAGCCACAAAGAAGAGTGGTTACTAAGGGGTGAAGGAGGAGTTTTGGAGAGACATTGGTTAAAGGATGCAAAATGTAGTTAGATATGAGAAAAAGTTCAAGATACCTATTTTACAACATGATGACTACAGTAAATAACGCCACAGACATTCTTCTACCTGTTGCTTCCTTCGTGAGAACATAGAGGAAATGGAACAATCTCACAATAAAATAAAAATGAAACAAAATAACTTAAGAAATCCCCTAACCTTTGTTACAGGTCACTGCCAATATAAATGCTGGGTATCTAAAGGACAGTCTTCAGTCTTCAGCTTTAGATGAAAGGTTTATAAAGGTTTTTATTTCATTCTTTTATTTATTTTTTTTTGCAGGTCTGAGTTTTGACCTCAAAAACTCACATTTAGGCAGGATGGTGCTCTACTACTTGAGTCACATATCTAGTCCTATTCTGAGCTGGGAAATTTTTGAGATAGAGTCTCATAATCCCACATGGGATTATGCCTCTATTTTAGGTGTGTGACACTGTTCTAATTTTCCTTCCATGGAGATGGACTCTGGAATTTTCTGCCCCAAATGGCCTAGATTCATATTCTTCTCAGTCTCAGTCTCCTATGTAGCTTGGGATGACATTGGCATGTAACATTGATCCTTGCTATAAATTGAGAGTCTCATGAACTTTTCTGCTCAGGATGGTCTTGAACTTTGATTCAAGCACTGAGAGACAAGAGATACATGTTTTCTTTCATATGTGGAAGCTAGAATTAATTTATAAGGATAGGAGTAAACATTTTGGAGTGTTATGCAAGCATATATGAATGTATTGATCAAGATACAGTAGACTCAGAAGAGAACTCAAATGTAATTTCTTAGAGGGACTAACGCACAGTTCAACAATAGATACACCGGGAAATGAGCACTCAAAAGGAGGGGGTGGGTGGGTTCAAGGTGTGGGGGAACAGATGAATTAAGAGTGGTATGGGGGGAGAATGCTTCAAAAGAAAACTGAGAGAAGGGTGGGGGTTGAGAGGGATGGGGGAGAATGTTGAAAAGGTGGCACTGATCAAGATGCATTATATTCATAATCTGCTTTGCTGAATGGCAACTCATTCGCACAACTACTTAAGGATAATAATTCACAAAAAGAAAAGGAAAGATTGACACCTGTCATTACAGCTCTATGAGTTCATGTATGTATCAGGTAGACAACTGTTAATCAGGAAGGTCTGTGAAGAAAGTAAAACTAATTCCTTAATATTGAACTAAAGAATACTTCACTAAGCCAGAGAGCGCAGGAGGAGCATTTTCCAGATAGTGAAAACTGCCTATTGGGAGTGATTTCTACATCTAAGAAGCTAAAAGGAGCAGAGACCTTAAAGAGTGATTGTAAAGATTTCAGGAGAGCAGCTATCAGTCAATCAAGACCTGGTGGCCACTTATCCCTGGTCCTAACTAGAGGGAGGAAGCAAGGGTTAGCAGAGTCACTGGCTTTCTTGGTCCTCTCTGACACCTATGGCTTCCCATTCAAACCTGGCTTTCTAGTGTAACAGATGAATTTGAGTGCTAACACACAACTAGCTATCTCTCTTTCTGGCTACCTGGATGGAATCCTTAAATCCCTCTGCCAGACTCTGTTAACTGACTTGTCCTATCTGGAATCTGTGGCCAGTTGGAGCCTGTCACCATCAATGGCAAAATGCTTCATCTCAAATCAGACCTGCCACCAAACCTTTAGGAAGGAACTTCATAACTCTTCATGACCAGCTAATAATGTGGGGCAGGTATGTCTATGAGGGATAGACATTTTTTTAGCTTGTCTATGTTATACAAAGGGTCTAGTGTAAGTTTCTATCACTCTCCCCACAAATACTCAATTTTCCAAAATAGGCCTTACTGATTTTCAGACTTAAAAAAAAATCTAAAGCGATTTTAGAGCTCTGTAAAAATCCAAGGGTATCTTCACACTTCAGCAATATGAAACAATGGGTCTGATCTTCTTACTACCATTACAAGTCTGTCTCTGAAATTAGGAAGTCTGTAAAGGTGATAAACAGGCTTCAAAATCCAGACATGAGCATATAAATAGAACTGCAACAATTAGGAGAAAAAATACTTTTCCCCCTAATTTTACTTGTCCCTGGAATTGTTTATAAATTAGGGGGCCTAAAGTAGAATCTTTTTCCCCCCATAACTTGCAAAGAAGGCTCTGAACGTGCTAGCAACGGTCCTGCCGAAAGTCCCAATTCGGTACTTACCTGGACATGCTTGTACATTGCACCTGGATACCTGAGTAGCATCCCCTGTACAGGAACGACCACTTTTAGATGGCACTGGATTGTCACACTGCCGCTTCCGGGTCTTTTCACCTCCTCCGCAGGAGACAGAACAATGGCTCCAGCTCTGCCAGTTTCCCCAGCTTCCATCCACTGGGAACAAGAATGGGATGGTCTGAGTATATACAGATGCTTTAAAAATCTACAGTGAGTTCTAAAGGAAAGGCTTCACTACCCCCAGGGTCAGGAATCAAGAACCTCACCAGGACACATGTCACTGTTGCACCTCTGGACCTGGGTGTCTGGCCCCCCACAAGCTCTTCCTCCATTGGAGGGATGAGGGTTGTCACAGGTACGGTACCGCCGCATCTGCCCTCCATTACAAGTCCGGCTGCAAGTTCCCCAGCCACTCCAAGGACTCCAGTTCCCATGGGCTACAACATGGAATCATTTCATATCAAAACAGAGCTCTAAAAATGAGTAGGGATAAACAATGACATTCATCCAAAAGAATAAAAGTACAAAAGAGTCTTTCTCCAGGAATTAAACAGAAACATATGAATTTCTAAAAGGGCAACTGACAAACGCAGAAAGCTCAGCTGCTGTTTTGACTAGACATCAAATAGATACTCAGCGGATTTTGTGATTCTCTTTAAAATCCATTTGCTATGTTTTGTTTACAGTCATCCACAGACTGGATGTAGGAATGAGACACAATCTCTGCTTTTGATGCAAAGCACAACATAACACACAGCTCACAGTAAGCCTACAACATGGTGGCAGTAAAAACCAAAGGTTAAAGCTCACAGTAAGCCTACAACATGGTGGCAGTAAAAACCAAAGGTTAAAGAACCAAGTAACAGAATATTAACGTGAAGGACTTAAGTTCATAATGAAACTTGAAGAAAGTATAATGTTGACTCACTGTTTCCAACACTCACTTGGACAAGGGTCGCTATTGCAAAAATCACTCTGGATATCACTTCCCTCACATCTTCTTCCCCCATACTGGGGGACAGGGTTAGCGCAATCCCTTGTTCTCTGTCTGGCTCCTCCTCCACAGGACACAGTACAGGCACTCCAACTGGTCCAAGTCGTCCACTTGCCATCAACTGGATCAACAGAAGAACACAGGTGCTTGGTTACTACCTAAAAAGGAGGAGGTTAAGCCCTGGCTATTTTTAAATTGAGTCCTGTTCTTGACTCAAAGGGGAATAGATTCTTACTGATAAGAGACTTAGATATGAGATGGAGGTTACTTAATAAGAAACAGGTTTGTCTTACCTGGACAGTGTTTTTCATTGCAAGCTTGCACCTGCGTTTCTGGCCCAATGCAGTAGGCTCCATCAAACGATGGTGGTGGGTTATTGCAAAGTCTTGTTCTCATTTGGTTCCCTTTCCCACAACTTTCACTGCATGCACCCCAAGGTTGCCAGGCACTCCATGCCCCATGAACTACAAAGACCCCAAGAGATGCAGTTAGAGAACACATTAGTTTAACAAACAGCTATACAAATAAATTAGCTCAGCCATGAGTTAATCTGCCCACAATCTAAAATAACTACAATCAAAACAAAGGAAAAAGAACAAATGTTCTTCTTTTCTCCTTCTGGTTGGATCCCAGGAGAATTTTATGTACTGGGAAATTAAGAAGGCTTACCTAATGTCAAAAATAAATGCTTAACATTATCCCATGGGGACTATTTTATTAAAATCAAATTGAATCAAGCAACTGTATGTAAACATATCCTAAGTGTTTAAATGTAGCTGAGTATCTGTCTAGATTTGGTGCTTTGGGAAAGTGGAAGGACCCAGAAGCTTCGGAGGAAGTCTGGAAGCCTCTTGCAAATTCTGACATGGTTCCAGATCTAGATGTGGTTATGAATGAAACAAATATTTTGAACAATGCTAATTTTATCCCAGCTCATCGTTAAATGTGATGGGCTTCCTACTTACACATGGACCAAACTCTTTCAACAACATGATGATTTGCACAGTTATAATTCTTTGAAATTTTTTTTCTATTACATAACATTCACAAATGTTCTGAATAACACACTCACCTACTTCCCAAACAACAGAAAACCCTGACCAGTAGTTTCCAAGGAGTAAGGCCTTCCTTTCAGTAACTAACATATTACAGCATCTGACCACAAGGCTGGCACAGCTTTATGTTTCCTACCAGGTGTGTGGGCTGAGTGTCAACATTACCAATTCTCTTACGTGCAAGTCAGTGTCAGGTCATGATGTTTCCTTTAGGGGAACTTTCTAGATACTGGCCTTGTAAAATGAGGCCCAGTTAACCAAGATGTGAACCCCCAAAAGGCCATTTCTAAATATTCTGTTAATACAACCTATGAGGGGGCCAGATAACAAGTTAAAAAACTCCATCAATGAGGTTAACATTTGTTGGCTTCATTTAGAAAGTATTTAAATATTTGCATTTTTCCCATACTTAATTGATTTCTCACTGAGTGGACTACATATACTTACAATTTGTAGACAGGAGCAAACATAGTCATGCAATCTATTTTAACTAATGAACATTTGTACTAATAAACAATTTAAATAAACCTAAGAGGGACGGAGAACACTTTAACTCTGAGGCAGATAATACTCAAAAGTGTTTCAGTGCTAACTCAAATTATAGATGCTCAACATCCTCATGTATGATTCATATGCCAAAATGTCTACAATTCCAATTATTTTAAGACATTTTATTCTTAGGGCTGTTGGTTAACCAAAGCCCAAACTCTAGCAATAAAATATTATATAATATGATATTTTTCCATTGGAGGATTATAGTTTTAGGGTGATATTTTTTACTCATTTAATAGTTTCTATTACACATAAGTAGACATCAGAACTAGAGTTAGGAGCAATGACTCTGGGAAAGATACTGTGTAAGGGTGGGTCTGTCCTCACTATCTCAGACAAATGAGTTTGTGTCTGTATTCCTAGTCTACTTACTTGCAATATGTAGGTAATTTGCACCAGAAAATAATGACTAACTCACAAACTCATGGAGATATCTCAGGGGGACACTGAAACTAGCCTAGAGACTCCATTAAAAAAAACCTAGGATAAGTTGCATATCAGAATAATAGTAATTATGCATTATAATCCATTGCATGATACTAGAGTATTCCATTGTTGTATAACATCTGAGTCCTCACTGGCATAAATCAAGAAATAAAGAGTAAAGCAAAAAATCCTCCCTGATAGAAAGTCAATAATAAATGTAGAACCTATGACAGAGTAAGGAAAACAGTATTATTCAAACTTCATAGTAATAATTAATTCCAAAAGGATTACAAGTGGATATTAAAGCTAGTAATATCCACTGGGAGACTAATAAGAGGATGTTTACATAGTTTCCCTATAAAACACTTATTTATAATAGAAGTAAAAACAGTAGCTACAATACAATGGCAAGTAGCACTTTTATTTAGAGGGCAGGCAGAGTGAATTGTCATCAGTATAGATAAATTGACATTTCATGGCCTCTGAACAGATGCACTGAGGAGCAATTATTTCTGTGGGGTCTCTGCCCAAAAGCAAACCCCAACTGTGTAACCAGGAGGAAATATCAAATGATTCCAGATTGAAAACTCTTCTACAAAATGACTGATATAGATATTTCAAAGTATCAAGGTCATGAAAGACAGTGTTAGAAAGTTCTCTACTAAAAACATCTAAAAAAATCTACAGAAACAAGACAAATAAAGAAGAGTTATAAAGAATATTACTGGAGCAACTAACAGTTATTTGAAATGTGTACCATGGATTAGATAATAAAATGAGATAAGGAGCTTAAAAATAATATATTTATATATATATACAGTGTCAACTTTGATACTACTGTATTTACGAAATTGAAGGCCCTTGTATTAGTAAATATATGTGTATAAGAATAATACAGAAATATTTTTGGTCATTCTCACAACTTTTCTTTAAACTTGACATCATTAAAAATAAATAATTCACAATAGACAAGTCATGGAATTAGCTTAGGTCTCAACAATAGATAAATGAATAAAGAGGATATGGTATATGCAGAATATATACACATGTACATATGTATGTATAAATGTATACATACACAGAATGGCTTATACACATAGAAGCAATGAAATTGTGTCATTTGCAGTATCTACCAAGTGACATGGTGCAACTAAACACTACATTGCTTTAGTTACTGGCTCTGAGATACTGTTGACATTGTGCCAAAATAGCAGAAAATTCAATTGGTTTATGGGCTTGGAATAACCCAAGAAAGCCTAAAATAATAATATGCCAGCAGATTAGTGAGCAATTGGTAATAGGTAAATAGACCGGAAGCACAGAGTTACTCAATATGAATCAAAAGTGACCTTTACTTTAACATTAGCTTTAATATTCAGGTTTCCATTATATCGTTACCAATTGTCCAATGATTTCTCTTAGGTCTTTCTGGGGTTTTTTAGAAGATAATGTTTCTGTAACGAGCTTTTTTAATTTTTCAAGGCTCAAACCCGTGGCTCTGATTTATTTTCTTTAAGATTTCAGGACAGTGTTGGTTTATTTTATTTGTTTTTTTCAAACCAGGGCCATATCTAGCCTAAGCTCACATTAAACTCTTAATCTTCCTTCCTCTCCCTCTCAGGTCCTAGAATTACAGGCATAAGCCACCATGTCAGGCTTAGGGTTTTATTTGTGAAATTTAATAGATGTCAGACTGAAAATCAAGATATCTCGAAACAAAGGAGCTAAACTTGGGAATCCATCAATGCGAATTGAAGTCCACGATTCACTTTTTGCTACTTAGTGAATTATGTAACATTATTTCCCGAATTTTTCTTTATCATAGAACAAAATACCCAATGCAATAAGGACTTCTTTTTTAAAAAAAATTATCCAAATCTTTCTTTGAGCCACTCCCAGAGCTAAGGTGTCATACCCTGTTGTGCTTTATCAATTCACTTCTTTGAGTTTGAGCAGTATGCTTATCAATATTTGAAAGACATTGTCTCTTTATCACTTTACCATTTTACTGTGATACGGGAAAGTGATATTTTGGAACAGAACCTTGGACACAGAGTAGGTGCACAGCACCTTGTTAGATGAATCAATAAGTAAACAAATAAACAACCTCTCTTCCCTTCCATATAATTTTTTTCAAGTTTCCAGACAAAGAAGCTTTCCTTTCTTGACCCTGTATAGAAGGACACATTGAATCAGCTGCTGATCATAGGACTTGGGCTACACTCAGCTAAATCCAGACACAAGCATGTGATAACTTCAAAATCAGAGTTCTTTTTTTCACAGGCTGAGAAGGAACTGAGAGGCTGATAAGAACTCTCTTTTTTTTTTTTCCCTCTGAGGCCTTAGATGACAAAGTTCATCAGAGCCAGTCTTTGCTAGCACCTGGTTCTCCCACAGGAAAAGAGTTCAACAAGGTAAAGCCCAACAGAAGAAGAGAGATGAGATAAAAGCATTGGTCAAATCCTTGCCTTCCATCATACCTGAAAAAGTGAATTTTCGACTATTTTTGTTTAAGTTTTATTTCTGTCCCTTGAATCTGAAAGAGTCTTCATATACAAAGTCAATAAAGGCACATGGACAAGCCAGCTAGCCCAGTTGTATCATGTGCTGGGTTTTTGGTGAATAGTAGCTATGTTTCACTGTTCCCTGCTCACCAGCAATGTGTTCCTGAGTCTCTGTAAGCTCTCATTTTCTTGTCTAGAAATGGATGGCTGGATTAGATGTTACCCAAAGCCACCATTACTTCTAAAATCTTAGGATCTTTTTTGTAGCTATGCGGTATGATTATAAAAATAGACCACAATGTGGAGCCTTTTTATGTTACACTAAGAATTTTACTTAGCATTGAAGAATGCCATTCCTTTACAGATTTACCTACAACAAAGAACTGATCACATCAGAATGAATGCATTCTCAAACATGAGGCTCTACCCTTCTTACAATGAAGAAGCTACAGTGATAATAAAGCTTGCTGCCTTTTAGAAAGCTTATCAGAATATGATTGGTGGGTTATTACTGGTGGGCTCTCACCTGGGCAAGGCCTCGCATTACACATGATGATTTCCACAGCATTCCCTTCACACGGCCGTCCACCATGCTGGGCTGGCGGATCATTGCAAGCTCTGGTCCTGGTTCTGTTACCCCGTCCACAGCTTCTTGTGCATTCTTCCCAAAGACTCCATTCTGACCAGTGACCATCCACTATACAAAGGTGAACAGTATAAGGTACATTGCAATCAAAGTACTAACTGTGAGGCCATGCATAGGTAGGGAATGCAAATTAATGTCAATTAACAACACGCTTAATCCCTTGTGTACCTGGACACAGCTTGTTCTGACACGTTCGGGCTTCTGAGTCCGACCCGTGGCACCGTTTGCCACCATTGGCTGGAGGAGGGCTGTTACACAGTCGGCTTCTCTTCTGGATGCCTTTTCCACAGGTTACACTGCAGGATCTCCAGGAGGACCAGGGGGAAAACCCACCATGAACTGCAAAGAAAGCATTATACTCTGTCACCCTTTTGTAAATCAAAGTTACAAAGCAAGTTCCATTTAAGTTATGAACTAGAGAGCTGAATCTATGCTTGCTGATGAGTAGTTTGTGGGAGCTTTCACTGATGGTAAAAGTAACCCATATGAGTGAAAGCAAAACTTTAGTTTATATTAGAGTTCCAATCCTGACTCACATGAATGTGGCTGCTGGAAGTTAGCAATCGAGAAGTTCATGGAGTCTTTACCTTTTGAATATGCTTTATTACTTAAAGAAAAATATATGTATTGCTTTCTGAGAATGCATTTGGTTTGGAATTTTGAATCATTAACCTGGAATTAAAAAAAACTCTATTCTGCATTGTTTTGTTTCCTTTAGTTTGTAAATCATGATGTTAGTTTTGTTCTATTTCCATCCTCTAGAAGTACCCTAAAGTTAAAAGAGACTCGGATTGAAGTTATATATACCTGGGTTGGCTTTGAACCTTGATTCTCACATCTCTGTCTCCTTAGTAGTTAGGATTACAGGTGTAAGCCACTGATGACCAGCAATATGGTAATCATTTTTATGACTGGAATTGCCTGGGTAGAGTTTAATAAGACTGTCCTCTGGTCATACTTACCCTGGACAATGACTGGCACTCTGACAAGGACAGAACCCATTAAGTTTCGAGCAACACATTCATACTCAGATGTATCTTCTTGCTGAGCAGCCACAATATATAATGAGTTGTTGGACAGAACACTGACTCGGTCATCCCAGGGAATAGAGCGCCCTTGGCGGGACCATGTAATAGTCGGATGAGGCTCTCCAGTTGCCTGACAATCTAATATGACTTTGCTGCCAGCACTAGTGATAGTTTCTACCGGTTCAAGAGTAATAATAGGAGGACCTGTCGTAAAAAAATGCACAGTGAACAAGTTTACACTCTCACCAACGATGCAGTAGGGTTCCCTTCTGGCCACATCCCCTCCAGCATCTGTTGTTATTAGAGTTCTTGATTATAGCCATTCTAACTGGGTGAGGTAGAATCTCAAAGCTGTTTTGATTTACATTTCTTTTGTGGCTAGAGAGGTTGAGCATTTCTTCATGTGTCTATTGGCCATTCTTATTTCCTCTTCAGAGAAGTTTCTCTTTAAGTCTTTAGCCCACTTATTTATTGGGCAGTTGTTTCTTTGAGTATTTGTATTAAGTGAAATAAGCCAGGCCCAAAGAAACATAGGTCCCATGGTTTTCCTTATTTGCAATAACTAGTATATGTCTGGGACAAGTAAAGAAGGTCAAAAGCTATATACATATGACCAGATAAGAAGAAGTTAAGTGAAATTAACCCGAAGATAGGGACACAAATGCTTTTTTTCTTGCTTGCTATTGTTTCTAATGTATTTATAAGGTACCATATGATTTTTTGTTGCTTTGTATGTCCTTCCCTTATACATGGTATAACCCCTGTTTTCATTGTATTTGATGTTGGTATAATTTGGGGAGGGGAAGGGAAAAAACAAAATGTTTAAATAGGGATACAGGTGGACCCATTGCAACAATGAGATGTACAAGACACTATGCTGAAAACCTAACTTTACAATTTAGGTGGGGGGGGGGGAGGCGGAGCCAGTGTAGTTGTGGAGATGGGAGGGAAGGGATGGTAGAGGAAAAACAAAGGAGGAGGCAACAATGCCTTATAAGAAATGTACTCATTACCCTGCTCATGTAACTGTAACCCCTCTGTACAGTTTTTTCATAGTAAAACACTTATTTAAAAAAGTACACAGTGATTTTTTTAGATTCTGAACAGCTAAGTTAACATTTCTATCATACACATACACACACACACACACACACACACACACACACACACACACACATGGTAATATTCTTTTGAAAGAAAAAACAAGCTTACTTACAAAATGAATAAAAGTGACTTATAGTTTTGTAATGGCCATTGATAAAATTATTGTAGCCCCATTTTATTTAGTAAATATAAAAAATGTTAAATGCCTAAGTGAGTTAGTGTACGGCATGGGCTCCATACTTAGGCTTTCTGGATTCAAATTCTGTCTGCACTATTAATCTATTCCCCTAAGCCTTTGTAACCTTAAAAAGAGTGCTTATTTCAGGATTCCTGTTACACAACTGAGATCAAACAATAACTTCTAATCAGTTTAATAACTCAATACACTCAACTGCTATTCTTTGTCTCACATAATGAAATTCCCCTTTCCTTTGATGATTATTTTTTTTGGGGTCCGGTCATGGGGCCTGAACTTTGGGCCTGGGCGCTGTCCCTCAGCTTTTCAGCTCAAGGCTAGCGCTCTACCACTTGAGCCACAGCGCCACTTCTGGCTTTTTTCTTTTTGCTTATGTGGTGCTGAGGAATCGAGCCCAGAGCCTCAGGCATGCAAGGCAAGTGCTCTACCACTGAGCCACCTTCCCAGCCCCTCCTTTGATAATTTTTGAGGTTAAGATTCACTAAGAACTCATCATGGGTCTTCTTTTATTCAACAGACATGCATTGAGAGCCTGTTATTTTCCAGCATTGTTCTACTAGTGTACAGGGATAACAGATATTCCCGGTCTCTAAGAGCTTCTAGCACACTGGTAAATTAGACAAGTAACTATTTACTTGTACTTGAACATATGTGTAGAAAAGGTACATGTATGCTAATTTGGAATATATCAAAAAAGCATGCCGCTGGAAATGGAAGGAAAAAGGAAGACATTAAAAAATTATCAAGAAGGCTGGTGCCTGTGGCTCATGTCTGTAATCCTAGTTTCTCAGGAGGCTTAGAATGAAATGACATCTTCCTATGCATGCTGCAAGAACTGTGGTCAACTCTACTAAACATGTTATTAAACAAAGACTTCCCTAGTAGTCAATTGTAATTTTATACTATGTATGTTAGATAAAGTAGAAAGAAGGACCTGTAGAAAATGTACCAGTTTTTTAAATAAGTTTTTTTTATTGTAAAAATACTGTACAGAGGGGTTACAGTTACATGAACAAGGTAATGAGTACATTTCTTATCAAGCATTGTTGCCTCCTTTGTTTTTCTTCTACCATCCCTTCCCTCCCATCTCCACAACTACACTGGCTCCGCCTCCCCCCCCCCCACCTAAATTGTAAAGTTAGTTTTTCAACATAGTGTCTTCTACATCTCATTGTTGCAATGGGTCCACCTGTATCCCTATTTAAACATTTTGTTTTTTCCCATCCCCTCCCCAAATTATACCAACATTAAATATAGTGAAAACAGGGGTTATACCATGGGGAAGGGACATACAAAGCAACAAAAAAAATCATATGGTACCTTATAAATACATTAGAAACAATAGCAAGAAAGAAAAAAATCACTTGTGTCCCTATCTTTTTCATTTTGCTTAACTTCAGCTTATCTGGTCATATGTGATGACAGCCTTTTAACAGAAAACTAAATGAGACCTATTGTGAACAGTACCACTACTGCACTTCTGCAAAGCTAAAGGAAGTAAGTACTCTCCATTAGGCACCATGGCATAAAGTTTCACATGGGTTCCACCAGGAGCTTACTTTGCAGTGTGAGGCTCATGCTGCGTTCCACTGCTCCAGCGTCATTGGTAGCTACACATGTGTAGTCTCCAGCATCTTCGTTCTATGGAAACAAGCATTTTCATAAAATGAATCTATAAGAGGGGGAAAATCCCAGTAATTTTTTTTTATCAATGTTGGTTTACAATATTGTCTTTGAGAAATCATTTTCGTAGAAATAGTCAAACCTAATAGGTCAAACCTCATAGTTTTTTAAAAAGAGGAGGAATAGAAGGATCAAGAAAGAAATTCCAAACTTACCTTTTTTTTTAACCAAGAGTAATAATTTGTAGAAAATCACAGCAAGAATAACATTGTTTTATGACCACCTCTTAAAAATACCTTACTAAAGAACAATGTCAATGGTATTATTCAGGATGTCCTAAATATCATTAAAATGGTCAGTCAGTGCAAAATAAACAACTATTGAGTCCTTTTTCTTTGAATGCCAGTTTAAGGGCTTGAACTCAAGGCCTGGGCAATGAGAAGCCTGAGACAACTTGATATGATAACAACTATGACTAGAAATAATCTCAACATGAATGACAATAGCTAATGTTGAAGTAAAATTAAGGAGAATAAACATTTGAGAATGAAGCAGGAGATTAGATAATATATTTTGTTATTTTAACTATTAATACAATGAAAGCCCATAGAAAACTCAGTAAGTATGTTTACAAATTAACCAGATGTATTTTAGTGAAGATAATTCAAAGTGAAAAAAAAATCCTATTTCTGAAATATGAAAGCTTTTGGAAAGTCCAAATATAATAATCAGTTTACTGATGAAATTTCTTTGTATTTGAAGTAGTGTACATAATTCTTCATTTTCTTTGTTCTAAAATGGATCTATAGAGGTTATCTCCTATTGTTAAATAATAGGACAAGGATAAGACAATAGGCAGCAAAATTATCTTAATTGTGGTATTTACTTGAAAGTGCCCAAAATACCAATTTCAACTATTGTTTTAGTTGTAGTTTTTAAAAGAACTTCATTGGCTAACAGATAGAGTAAATGGGGTATACACAAAGGAATACTATTCAGCCATAATGAAGGATGAAATCTCATAGGATCTAGAAGTAATTTGAAATAAGCCAGGTGCAGAAAGAGCAGCACTGCAGGATGTCATTTGTGTGTAGAATCTACAGTGCTGGTTTTATATAAGAGAGAGAACAGTAGCTACCAGACTCTGGAGGAGCAGGGAGAAGAAATAAGAAGATGGTGACCAATAGATACTTAATTATGGTTAGATAGAAGTAAAAAAAAGGTCTAGTGCATTCAGCAGGGTGAATAAATAAAAATTACGTGCTACATATTGCCAAAAAGGATTTTGAATGTTTCACCATAAAGAACTGATACTGCTTAAAGAGATCAATATGTTTAACCTGATTGAAATATTTCATAATGTGTGAAGCATCTCCTTGAACTGCATTCATATGTACTTTTCAAAGTTTCTTGTACATCATTTAAAGTAAACTTTTGAGGAGTGGAAGAGAACATTTTCTCATTTATGGAAAGTGTATCGGGCCAGTGACTGCGAGAATTTAAGGGTACATCCACAATTCCAGAGTGACTTACCACAGTGCCATAGATGGCCAGGGAGCCATTGCCCAGTTGTCGGATTCTGTGGCTGATCTCAATATCCACCCCTCTTCTGCTCCATTGAATAGTTGGGGCAGGCTCACCTTTCACCTCACAGTTCAAGACTGCATTACCACCAAGTGGTTCAATCCAGTTAGAGGGGTCGTCACCTTTGAAGACTGGAGGTTCTGGAAAGAATCAGGACAGGCACAAAGTGAAAGCAGGTGCTATTGATAATTTCTTGGTGAATTTTGACCCCAGTGAAAACATATTCAGGGCCTTAGGCATGCGTATACAAACCAACTAAAGTAGGGTATACACAGGGAGGCGGGGAGGAGGATTCCAATGGTGTAACTCCTTTAAGTAGTTGCTTAACAAAATGAATCCCAGGAGACTGCAATATGTTTTGTCTAAGGTGGGTAGGGCATAGGGGGATGGAGGGAGGGCAGATGAGTGAGGGAAAGGAATATTGGGCAAATGAAATCATAGCACCCAATGCACACCTGTGAAAATGGAACCAGATAGCTTGAAGGGATAGGTGGGGTGGGAATAAATGAGGGAGAATTATGGAAGGAGTAGCTTTGATCAAGATGCATTGTGCTCATAAACTGATATGTTGAATTGAAGTACCTTTGCAGAACTACTTAAAGGTCATTTAAAAAAGAAAGGTAATTGCATAAAGCAGGAGAAGAGTCATTTTAAACCTTCACGGATTTTTTTCAGAATGCGTGTCTCTTCCTAAACCACCGATTGATTTGGTCAACTTCAGTTCTCTACGGGACCACTTCATGAGAAATGATCTCTTCATTTACTTCTTTCTTACTTTTGAGTTAAATGCTCATGGTGGTTGTTTTTTCCCCCCACTCATGAATGAATACATTTGTGAAATTGGGCTAAATGACCTCATAAATTAAAGTTATATTGTATTACTACATAATAAGGAAATAAAACCCAACCTTCTCATTATAAATCAAATTACAGGTGTGAAAAGAAAACACTCTTACCTACCTTTCACATAAACAAACCCGATTGCTTTCACAAAGCCCACGCTGTTCTGGGCAGTGCACACGTAGGTACCCGAATCCTCCTTTGACACTTTTTCAATAACAAGTTCGCTGTGTCCACTTGCACCATCAAAGTGGGCTGAGGAGAAACAAGTTAGGAAACAACACGAATGCTTGAATGCCTCTCAGTGACCTTGAAAAAATCCAGGGCAGTGCAGTATTTTACAGGTTAGATTTATGAGTTGGTCAGCAATGGAACCAAAGGATCTCATCAAGACACCGTGCAAGACACAGCCTTTGCCTCTGATCCTCCCTCTTAGCTAGTCTACAGGCTCTTGTTTGAAGAATTAAAAAACAGCCAGGGGAACAGGAAGAGAAAAAGCAAACAAACATCATTCAGAAACTATTTTAGATTGACAGTACATCTTTCATTTCAATCTGCTACCTAAAGCAGGCTCATAGTCTCTCTGTGTTTCAAAAATCCTTCAGGAACATGACATTTTCCATTCCATTTATCTAACTGGTACTTTCCCTCCAAAACAATTTACATCAATAAAATGACCACCTTTTTAGTTATAATTCAACTGACTTGTCATGTCAGAGGGCAAATCATAAAAATACATGCTTGTTTGGTCATAGCAGCCACACGATCAAATCTGTAATAATTTAAACCTCCTTATAAATTATACATGGTGATGTTATAAATATTTAGTAAGGCAGAGGAGAATGTAAGGTTAACATGATATGGTGCAAGTTAACTAAAACCAAATAAAATTATAATTTGAGCAGCCTAAATCTAATTATGTTAAGTAGTCTGTTTACTTTGTAGGGTTTTTTTACCTGTTTATTAAAACAAAAAATTGGTAATGCTGAGTACAAAGTGGAAAATGAAGGTTTAAAAGTTTTAATAGCTAAATTGGTACTGAAAAGCTACATTGGCCTTCAGACACAGACTGGAATTTTTAGACATTGTTTTTCTTTAGTCATTACTGTGATAACACAGTTGATGAGTTCCAGTCATTAACATAAATCTTTACAAAAGAAAACACTGTCTTATCACCACTTTTCTAGAAAGACAGTCAATAAAGAGCTGAACTCAATTTTGGCAAAGGACAATTTCTTGCTATTTAGTGCCTTTACACTGATGACAAGGCCCAGTGAGTAAGTAGACGTTTGTCATGAAGTATCCATAGTGACTAGTAATTTTTTCTACATTAAGTGAAATTGATTTGCACTGGTTTCATACAGTGAAGAGTTTGGATTTTCTATAATATTACATGACTTTAGCAGTAGCCACCTTTATCAATTTATCAATGATGTTAAGGCTCAGGGGGGATAGCTGCCTACATTTACATTATTATCTTCTCATGGAGAGAGGACATTTTGAAAAGAACTTCTAACAACACACACTATATAGAACTGTAATCCACTGATTCCTGCAGAAAGAATAAACATTGTGTGTGTGTGTGTGTGTGTGTGTGTGTGTGTAGAGAGTAAAATCCAAGCTGCAGCATGTTTTATAATATTTAAAGTCACCAATTCTTCATTTGTACTTCATGATCAGGGCAAGTAGAGGTTGGTCTCCACTTCTCTCTGAGTACAAGGATTCATTTCTGAAGAGTGAAATCACTCACCTGGGATGATATTGTTATTGAAAGTCCATGTTAGCTTGGGCAATGGAATACCGGTTGCCTTACAGCTTAATCGCAGCCTCTCTCCTTTATTTAATGACACGTCTCCGGGTAGTTCGGTGAATGTGGGGAGAACGTGCACAGTCAGGGTGATGGTGTGAGTATCTTCTCCCGCCACATTGCCAGCAACACACGTATACAGCCCAGAATCTTCCGGCTAAAATGTTAAAAACAAAAATCGCAGTACACAAAATGTCAGAATCTCACATTTTATTACACAAAATACATAAAACTGTAAAACTTGTTCCCCAAAGGAGCACTCTTATCTACAGATAATAACATTTCCACTTTTAAATGCTAAATTCATTAGGTTTTCTTTTTTATTTTTGGTCGGTCGTGGGGCTTGAACTCTGGGCCTGGGGGCTGTCCCTCAGCTCTTCAGCTCAAGGCCAACGCTTTACCACTTGAGCTCAGCACCATTTCCGGTTTTCTGGTGGTTTATTGGACATCAGAGTTTCAGGGATTTTCCTGCATTGGCTGGCTTTGAATCTTGATCCTCAGATCTCAGCCTCCTGAGTAGCTAGGATTACAGGCATGAGCCACCAGCTCCCGGCTAAATCATTAGGTTAGTTTTGAAGAGCATAATTTACTTTTTAAGTTACGTATTTTTCTTAGCATACATGAGTTGCACAGGGCTTTAGTGTCATTTGCACACACACATATACAACATGATCTGATCAAATGCCCCTCCCCGCACATCTCTCCCCTGTCTCCTCTGACCCATCTTAAAACAGGTCCAGCAGGGCGCTGGTGGTTCACGCCTGTAATCCTAGCTACTCAGGAGGCTTAGATCTGAGGATCATGGTTCAAAGCCAGCCAGAGCAGGAAAGTCCATGAGACTCTTATCTCCAATAAACCACCAGAAAACCAGAAGTGGCACTGTGGCTCAAGCGGTAGAGCGCTGGCCTTGAGCTGAAGATCACAGGGACAGCACCCAAGCCCAGAGTTCAAGCCCCACAACCAACAAAACAAAACAAAACAAAAAACAGCTCCATTTGGTGAATACTGACTCCTTTGTCCAACTACTTAAAGATAATAATTTAAAAAATGTACAGAGAAAAAAACAGTTTCAGCAGTTTTCACTGTTCTATGTTCATATATGCAAATAAAGTACTTTAACCATATTCATCCTCAAACATTCAAAATACATAGGAGTTAAATCATAATCCCACATGTTACAGATCTATAACAACTATTTTCTAGCAACAGGATTTCAACAAAAATAAACCCTAAAGTCTAGTAATTATCCAATATACTATCACTTTTCAATGTACAAGTAAGAAACCAAAAATAACATTAAATCCAAGGCTGCTAAGAGGCATCTGGACAATCTAGTGGGCTCTTTGGGTAATGTGGTACCAACCAAAATTAGCAGAAAAATGACAAGCATAATAGCAATATCACCTACAGTTCTGGGGTTTCACTAGCTAAGCCCAATGACCAACTCCTATCACTGTTATTTGTCTGACTGGCAATAGTCCACACTCTCAAACTTTGCCTTCATTTGGACCATATAGTCTTCGAGTTTCCTGCCAAAATACTATTGGCTGCTTCTCTATGTAATGTTGACGCAGGAGAAGGCTCAGTCTTGGTCCCTTTATATCTGTATCTACATGGAACTAGATGTATGGAACCTGTATGTCATTTTACCTATATAAATTCCTTCACAACATCATGGCTTTATATGACCACTTACATCTTGAAGACAACCAGTATCTAGATCTTATTTCCAAACTCCAATTGCATTGAGCTCATTCCAGTTCTCCTTTGGAGTTAACTGATATATAGTGGTTATAGGTGGCATGGAAAGGAAATTGGACTCAATAGAGCAAATCATTGTTTTTGTGCTATTATTTATTTCTCAGATGATGGCTATTGTATCCTGTCAATTATTCATGCCTTTGGTACCAGACATTCAGTCATCCTTTACTTTTTCCTCTCAAATTCCACTTGCAATCTTTTAGGACATGCTAACTTCAAAGTATATGTGTCCTCCGACCACTTCTTACTCCTTCTCTGAAACATTCTATTGGTGGTTCTATTATTTCGCATTTGCCTCCCTCCAGCCTTCCCACAGGTCTTCCTGCTTCTGTCCTTGCCACGCTACCATCTACTCTTATCATAAAAGCCAGTGAGGTCTTACAGAAATACAGTATTGTCAATAGACTCGGACTTTTAGGAATAGTAAAAGGCAAAATGGTTCTAATGATCTAGAAGACCACATGCCATTTGCTCTGCCTTCTCTCATTTTATACGCTTTCTTTGCTTTTACTGGCCTCCTGAGTCTCAAATCCGACTGGCCCATTCCCACTTCAACTCTTTCGCTCTGCCTATTTTCTTTCCTCGGTTGCTTTTCTTTGAATATTTTGTTGGCTGGGTCACTCTCCTAGATTTGGCTAAACTATCACTTTCCCAATGATCATTTTACTTAAAATTGTAACTTGCTCCAGCTCCAGAGATCCTTTTTACTCCACTTTACAATGCATTTTTGTGACATCGTACATGTTGCATACTACTTTTATTGCATATTTCCTAAATTATCTATCTCCTTCTAGAAATAAACTCCATAAGAGCTAGGATCTTCAGGTCTTTGTTTCTGGTATTTCCAGTGCCTGACCCATTAATAAATGTGAGTTTAATTGATTGAATGCTTTGGATGAATTAAAATATATATATTATGGACTTTATTTCTCTTTTCTAAATTTAAGACTAAAATTCTTTGTCAACGAAGCACCAAAGAATTAGAAATACATCATAAAATTTACCACCATTCATTATAGATACAACCTAATTTTTGTTGTAGTCTTAAAAAAGGCAAATAAGCATAAGTCTTATTCCCCTCACCACACACCACTTAACTGGTTTTAAGTTCTTAGCTTGTGACAAATTAAGTTTAAAATAAAAGATTTTATGTAAATGAAATATTTCAAAATCTGGGTCATATATGTTATATGCCAATACAACTACATATTATTTATGTCACTCCCCTCATATTTAGGATACACCTGAGTATTGGTATTCTCTTACTGTACCTGACTCATTGTCCCACTGAATTCTAAACTGTCCCCTTTAATTCTTTAAAGTCTAAAAGATTTTTGTACATGGACACAGGAGTAATGCCCACCAGAGATATTTAGCAGTTTAAACAAATAAAAGGGTTTATTGTTATTTTATCAATTCTAAGTTTCCCACTCTTTAAGCATTAAGATCTTTGATATTAGGATACAACTGACACATGGATAGGCTATATTCTCTTTCTCTTGGAAAGAGAATTGGGAAAGTACAATGTTAGCTGACATCGCTGACTAAGAGCCTGACATAGCCTATCACAGTGCCATATACTTGGAAATCCCAGGGTCCAGTTGTTTGACTGAGATATGACCAGTAGCTAGGATTACTCAGGAGGCTGAGCACTGATGATTGCGGTTTGAAGCCAGCTGGATCAAGAAAGTCCATGAGATTCTTATCTCCAATTAACAACCCAAAGGCTGAAAATAGAGCTATGGCTCAAGTGGTATTGTGCTAGCTGAGAGAGAGAGAGAGAGAGAGAGAGAGAGAGAGAGAGAGAGAGAGAGAGAGAAAGAGAGAGAGAGAGAGAGAGAGGAGAGAGAGAGAGGAGAGAGAGAGAGAGAGAGAGAGAGGAGAGAGAGAGAAAGCTCAGACAGTACTTAGGCCCTAATTTCATGCCCCAGGATACATACACACACACACACACACACACACACACACACACATCTAATGAACAGTTTTAAAAGGTATTCATTAGTTCCATCTATCTGCTAAATGCTATTCTCCTTGTGGGGACTTAAAATGAAATATATGTCTAATTTTTAATTGGATATACACTTATATGAGTATTTTCTTTTATCATTATAGACTATATTTTCAGATTAAATTAGTAAAAACAAGGAATATGAATTAACCATCTGGCTTATGCACCTATTTACATTTGGTAAACTTACCACAACATTTTCCAAAATGAGTTCTCCATATGGCTGAGCAGTGTATTTTCCTAACAAGTTAGATAAAGGAACATTGTCTTTTTCCCAGTGAATTGCTGGAGTGGGGATTCCATCAGCCACACATGGTAGAATAGCTTGTGAGTTCTCATTGACTGCATAGTGTATTTCTGTATTTCGGATACTAGGTGGTACTAGGAATTTCGAAAAGATAGTTATTCAAAAAATTAACTTCAGGAGGTTAAATTCAAATCATCATTATTTCCATTGAAAATTAACATATAAAAGACATTTGAGGGTCATTCTAATAGGAATACTATAATAAGCTATCAAGATATTGATTTCTTTTGCTAGGAGTGCAATTGATATTTTTGATCATAGCAAGAATTCTAAAGTACTCGACTTTGTGGAAGACATTCAATTCACTTTATGCCCAAATGATTTACAAGTGGGTTAGAAATCTTTTTGTTTGCCTCTTTGACGTCCTCACATTTGACTTTTTTCTACTTATTGTAATAAAACAATAAAACAAGCCAAAGTACAAATCCAAAGCCCCTTTATGGTGCTTTAATTTTTGAATTTGTTCCACACAACATGTTGACTGGATAAACTGGCTATTCACAGACACTAAAAAGTACTCAAAGTGCTCAGCAGATCTTGAATAACACAAAGCACAACAGAAAATAAATTTCACCTGTGTTATCTGGTCTACAAACAAGATCTATGACTCTCTCCTTGCACACATTTTGGATATTGATTTTCATTAGTTTTCTTTTCCACCAAATTTGCTCTTGGTGACCTTTTATTTTGCTACATTACTGTGGCAACGTTAGACAACCTACCATGGATGGTGAGCTTGGCTCTTACACTGCTTGAACCTGCCACATTAGCTGCCATGCATGTGTACTGCCCAGCATCCTCCAGCTGAGCAAAGGCTATCTGCAGAGCCCCCGAGTTGAGGATGCGCTGGCGGATGGACTCTGTAATGGTATGCCCATCTTTGTGCCATACAATGTCAGGTGGTGGTAGGCCATCTGCTTCGCAGGGGAGTGTGATGGGTTGATCAATTGCAATGATGTATTCTTGTGGATGAGTTCTAATGACTGGGGGAACTAAAAGAGAATTCAAATCTCATTTGAGAATCAAGAGTATGCAGACTACACACTACAGTCCTGCTGGGGCAAAGGAACATTTGTGCAAAAACAAAAATCCTCCCTTTATTGTATCTTTATAAAGCGTTAGAGTTTGTCCTGTTTGGAACATCAACATTTTCCTTTGCCTGGCATCAAAGGCTCACATCTGTACTCCTAGCTACTAAGGAGGCTGAGATCTGGAAGACTGAGGTTCAAAGTCAGCCTGGGCAGAAAAGTCTTCAAGACTGTTTCCAATTAACCAGAAAAAAACAGGACTGGAGTCATGGCTCAAGTAGTATAGTCCCAGCTTTGAGCAAGAAAACTGAGTAAGAGCTGGAGGCTCTTTTTGTTGCCAAAAAAACCAGAAGGCAACAAAAACAAAAGGCTAAATCATTTAATGAAGAAAGCACTAGCAACTGGAAACAATTTCTTTCTCATCATATGTCAAATTATAGAAACCAATGAATATTTTTGGATTCTACACCTTGATATGGTTACGTTCCACACTACAGTCCAGTTTCTTCTTGAAATACTATTCCCTTCTAGATTCCTCTGATTTTTCACTGATGTCTCTGGGCATCATCTTGAACACTTTGGATTCTTTTCCAGTGTCCTCTCTTTCATGAGACTGCTAAGCCATATTCTGTCCCAGAACCCTTTCCTTATCCAGCTTTGCTGTCTGCATTTTTCCTTAGTTGATCACATCCTTAGGTGATATCCTGAGTTTAACTTTAACATTGATTACTTTCAAGTTGTGTGTGTGTGTGTGTGTGTGTGTGTGTGTGTGTGTGTGTGTGTGTGTGTGTGCTAGGGGGGAGGGCTGGTAGTAGGGTTTTAACTTAGAGCATTTTCCTTGCCAGGAAGATGCTCTATTACTTGACACACTATCCTTTCTCAGCATTTTTTTCAACTTTATACTATGTATTTTTCATGAGCTCCAGTACATAATCAACTCTCTATTAGATATCTCCACTTGGATATCTAATATTCTGCACTTAACGGAATTAAACAGACATTGTGGTTTTGTTTTTCCAAAACTCGATCTTTCCCTCGTATTCTTTCCTGGAAAAACCATTCACTTGCAGTTACAACTGAAGTCCAAGGAATAGAATGAATCTTCTTCTCTTAACCTCCCATTCATAACTCCTTCTTCCTCTCCTGAACCATAACACTCTTCATTTTTCTAGCTCTTGTCTTTTCTTCAAACTGTTATGTAGCAAAAGGGGGTCTTTCTAAAACCAAATAAGAATTCTGGTTAAACCATTGTAAGGCTTCCCATTGCATAGAGAAGGATGCGGATGGGACGTGCTTTGCTGTGCTCATCCCTCCATGCATTGGTCCTGCCCACCTGTCTCAGCTCTCTCACCATTGTCAAGCCATGTAATCATACTTCATTTTCCCACTTTTTCCTCAGAGCCACTGCAAAAATGATGTCTTTTCTCCATGGACACTCAAGCCTGACTTTGCTCATTGTTCTTGCTCCTTCCCTCCAGAGAGGCCTAAATAGTCAATAAGCCAAAATAGTCCCCAGGTATCTCCAGTATTCACCAGATCAGTCTCTTGTTCAGATAGCATGTATCTGAATCTATCATCCTTGTATTTATTCATTACCTTTTCTTGTCTATCAAAATGTAAGTGCCATAAGAGAAGGAACATGTCTGTCATGTACAATATATATCCAGTTATTGATGTTGAAAAAATGTGGAAAAACACAAAGGAACTGGATTTGTGATCAGGAAGAAAGTAAGCTTTATATATTCAAACTATGAATAAAACCCCACTATAATGAGATTCACATATGCATGGAATATTACTCTTCCATAAAGAAAAATCTGTTTACTTCATATTTTATATGATCATCTGTACATAGCTATTGGGCCTTTCTCCACGAGTCCAATTGTATGTTAATGACTAGGGTCTTACATAATTTATTATGTCCCATTGTGTGTGTATGTGTTTATTTATTTACTTTAGTCATTCAATGTGTTTACTTGTAGATTTATGGGCACATTTTAGTTACAACAAATGAGGGAAACCAAGCAGCTTATGTTCCTTTGTCTCTGGCTTACTTCATTTAACATAATTTTTTTCCAAGCCTTTCCATTTCCTTATGAATGGTACAATATCATTCTTACTGATGGATAAGCAGAATTCCATTATGTATATATACCACATTTTCTTGATCCATTTGTCCACTGAGGGACATATAGGTTTGATTACGTATTTTGGCTATGATAAACAATGCTGCAATGAACATAGTTGTATTGGTGGCTTTAATCCAGCCTGGTTTGGGGTGATTTGGGTAAATGCACAGAAGTGGAACTGCTGGGATATAGGGAAGCTCTATGTTTAGTCTTTTGGTGAACCTCTATACTGTTTTCCAGAGTGGTTGAACAAGTTTACATTAATAACAACAATGTAATATGGTTTCCTTTTGGCCATATCCCTGCCAGCATTTGATATTAATTTTCATGATAATGACCATTCTAACTGGAGTGAGATTGAATTTCAATGATGTTTTGATTCACATTTCTTTCATGGCCAGAGATGTTTATGACTTCTTCATGTTCCTATTGGCATTCTTTTTCCTTCCTCTGAGAAGTCTCTCTTTAATCTTCAGCCAATTTATTGATTGGGTTGTTGAGTTTCTGAGGGTTTATTTTGGGGGAAGATTAATTTTTTGAGTCTAGGCAGATGATCATATGAAATAATATTCTATGAAACAAGGGATATTGTTTTAGTTGCCATTGTTGCTGATTTTGTTTTCTTTTCCATGTCTTATTTTGTTAGTTTGTATTTGGGAAGGCAACAAAGGGCACACAAAAAGTGGAACAAGGATGAACAAATACAACAGTGATACTCACTGGACACTATGTGAGAAATGAACTAGAGATCCTGTGGGTGGGGAAAGACTGGGAGATAGCAAGGAAAGGGGAGACAGGGTTCAAAAAGAATTGTACTCATTACTCATTACCTGATTCATGTAACTGTAAACCTCTCTGTATATCAACTCTTCAATAAAATTAAAAAGAAAAGAAAATCTGGGGCCAGTGGTTCATGCCTGTAATCCTAACTACTCAGGAGGCTGAGATCTAAGAATTGCTGTTCAAAGTCAGGCAGGAAAGTCCATGAGACTCTTATATCCAATAAAGTACCAGAAAACCAGAAGTGGTACCGTGGCTCAAGTGGTAGAACACTAGCCTTGAGCTAAAGAGCTGAGGGTCAGCACCCAGGCCCAGAGTTCAAGCCCCATGACCCACAAAAAAAAGAAAAAAGAAAAAAGGAAAAGAAAAATTATGTCATTTGCAGGAAAGTATATGGACTTGGAGATCATCCTTAGAGGATAGGTAATGATGGCAAAAGTAATAATGATAGGACATACATTTAAAAGGAGGACTGTCTTGGAGGAGATAAATGTGTGTGTGTGTGTGTGTGTGTGTGTGTGTGTGTGTGTGTGTGTGTGTGCGTGCACGTGCGTGTGCATGTGCTTTATGCACAGAACAGTGAAACCCCATGCTATTTGAAAAGGAGGTAGGTAAATTGCTGGTTATTTTCAAAACATAGATGTTTCAATCCAGTGTTTCATAGCATATCAAAGCATTGTAGAGACAGGATGTTTTAAAAAAATGAGGTGAGGAGGTGGGGTGTGAGAATATAATGTGCATTGTACACATCTATGGAATTACTGCAATGAAACTTGTTCTTACTACTCATGTGTGCTAATTAAGATTTAACTTAATTTAAAAATTAAATAAAAAATTTAAAATCACCTTAAATATGTGCTACAATAAAGCAGATTGCTGTGGCTCCAACTTGTCCATAGGACATACAGTTTTAGATGCCAGTGGATGTCTGAATCTGGGGATACCATGAGCCCCAGATTCTTTTTCTTCTTTCTTTCTGCCTTGAACTCTGGGCCTGGGAGCTGTCCCTCAACTCTTCAGCTCAAGGCAAGTGCTCTACCACTTGAGCCACAGCGCCACTTCTGGTGGTTAATTGGAGATGAGTCTCACAGATGTTCCTGCATTGGCTGGCTTTGATCCATGATCCTCAGATCTCAGCCTCCTGAGTAGCTAGGATTTCAGGTGTGAGCACCAGCTCCTGTTTTTTTCTATACATATGCAACCATAATAATGTTGAACTTAGGACTTAGAAAATAGTAAAAAAAAACATTAATAATAAAACAGAATAAGGAAATCAATACTGTGGTAAAAGTGACATCAATGTGTGGGGGTTTCATTCTCTCTCAGTACATTTTACTGTTTTTCCACCTGTTTCTTATACTTCCAGGGGTACCATTTAATATATGTCTCCTCCTTTTTATGATGGTGGCACTGGAGGGTTGAATCAGGGCCTTGTGCTCATTGTTGCTCTACCACCTGAGACACTTCCCCAACCTCTTTTTTTTTGTTTTGCTTCAGTTGTTTTGAGACAGGGTCTCAACATTTTTTATCTAGAGCAGACTTTAGGCCATCTCCTTATCCCAAGTAGTCACGATGTCTAGACAAAAGTCTCCACAAATTGTGGAGACAATGTCACTGTGCCAACTTTTTGTTTGAGCTATCCTTGATCCATGGTCCTCCTAATGTCTGTCCCCTTTGAATCTGGAATTATAGGTGTGAGCCATGGTGCCTGGCCCCCAATATCATTATTTATATGCTTTGAGGCCATCATTAATGTAAAGAAGGATTAAACAGAAGCACTGTTCTGCTGTGATGATTGGATAACTAAGAGAGCTACTAAGGCAAAGATGCTGCCCATTACAGATGACATTTTATCCTACTATTTGTTAGAGTATACCATTGAAAATTCCAGAGTTACTTATTTCTACAAGTTTCCATTTCATATTTTCTGAAATATGGTTGACTGGTTGGCTCTGGGTAAGTAAAATCATCAAGAGCTAAAATATAGCTAAGGAAGGGACCCCTCTACCAAGTGAAATTTCACAGAAGTTAAAAGTGGGATGGATACCTCATTATTCTTAGACAATGTGAACAAAGGAAATGCATTAAACTGTCTTCTTAATAAAGGAGAGAGAAAAACAAGTAGAATAATGCAAACTAAGAAAGTTGAGAAATATTAGGGAGATACAGCATCATCACTTCAGATATATAAATATTTAGTATCCACGTGACACAGAGCGTTGAAGTCAAAGCCATGAAATATTCTGGTACCTTGGACATTTAACTTGATTTTGCCCAGGGCTGTCCCAGCTGGGTTCTGAGCCACACACATGTAAGTGCCTGAGTCCTCTCGAACAGCTCTGGTGATCTGCAGGCTGCCGCTGGGAAGAACTGCATGATTTTTGCCTGTATCATAGCGACAGAAAGCAGAGTGAAGGGAATGACTTTCACTTAAAGATCATACTGACTTCTAAACTGCAAGCCATTGAGTGGGCTGTGCTTTCCTTTTAAACAATAGAAATAGTGGTAGATACCTGAGGAGACCACATTGATGCCTTCTTTTTGCCAACCAATGAAAGGGCTGGGTATCCCTGTAGCCTCACAAGGTAGTAAAATGGGATTGTTTAGAATGACATCTAGTTCACTGGGCTGGGGCTGAATGACTGGAGGTTCTAAAAAAGCCAATAGACAAAGAGAATAGCACTAGTTAAAGGCATAGCAGTTTACTGTCCTTTTGATCTTCCTACACCCATATATACAGTTTCTAAATCTTAGCGATTTGATTATTCAAGAGAAAAGTACAGTTTGGTCCTATTACATTCCTTGTACCTTCCTAGAAAAACTGTATCAGAAGATTACAAACAAGAACAGATTATAAAAATCCCAGAAGAAAAAGGAATAACTCCCGGCCTTTCATATCCTAAGATTCTACTGTGGTTTATAATTCTAGACAGTGCCATCTTTAAAAAATAGATTTGACTTGGAAAAAAAGTCAAATGTACAACCAAACCACACCAAATCCCAAACTCAACAAGTCCTGACATATTTCTCCTTTCCTCTTTCCTTCTTCCCCTTTCTATTTCTCCCTCCTTCTCTTTCCTTTCACCCCTCCCTCCCTGGGATCAGACACTGGACTTCACACACTAGCCAAGATCTTGACTATTTAGTGATAACCTAACCCACCCAGCAATGTTTTCATGAGTAAATATCCTTCCATACCTTGGACATGAAGGCTTACATGTCGGTGTGCAGAGCCAGCTGTATTCCTAGCAATACAAGTATATCTTCCTGCATGATTTAATTGTGTGGCTGATATTTCAATTGTTCCTGAATAGAAAAAATATTTAATGTACAGTGCAATAAATTATAGCTCTCATTTTTTGTGTTTTCTTCACCCAGCAGGGTTGACTGTATTTTACTCTTTATATTATTTGTACTTCCTGAAGTGAAGAGCACAGCTTGATTTTACTATTAATAACAGCGTTCTTGGTGCATAATTTACATACCACAAACACTACCCATTGAAATGTATAATTTAGTAATTTATAGTGTATTTTCAGAGTTGAATATCTATCAGAACAATCAAATTTTAGAACATTTCCATCCTCTACTACCAAAGAAAGCTGGTGATCATTTATAGTCACTTCAAACCCCCAGCCACATGCTAGGCCATCATTAAGCTATTTCCTGTGTCTGTAGATTTGTCTTTTCTAAACACTTCCTACAGAAGGAGTCATATACAATGTGGTTTTTGTATCAACATTTCTATGAGCATGATGTTTCTGAAGTTCCTTTGTTTAATCATGTGTCATATTTTGTTCCTTTTCATTGCTACATAGAATTTGATTTATTTTTTAAAATTTTATTAAAATTTTGTATTTTTAAAATGTATTAATTTTTATTGTAAAGGTGATATATAGAAGGGTTACAATTACATAAGTCAGGTAATGAGTATGTTTCTTTTTGAACAGTGCCACCTCTTCTTTTTCTCACAGTCCATATAGAATGTTATTTTGTAGAAATAACCACATCCTGTTTATCCATTCATAGATTGATAGATATTTGTATTGTTTGTACTTTTTTGACTGTTGCTAATGAGTGTTTATGTTCATCCGCATACAAGTGATTGTGTAGAGATATACTTTCACACCTATTGCGTAACACCCAGGACTAGAGTTGTTGAGTTTATGGTAATGCTGCTTAACATTTTGAGAAAATGCTAAGCCATTTTCATAGGATAAAACCTTGTGATTATGCTGTAGGGGGTGTAGCTTGGTTTTATAATTTGAATTGTCCAGGGTCCCATGACAATTAAAATAATTTGCCTAAATACATCTTTTTCCCTCTCTATTAGAACATATATATTCTGTTAGAATAATATGCTCATACTCAGGAAACACCAGGATATTAGCTACTGCTTTAGTTCATCCCTAGTGTACCTACTCAGAGCTGGGTAGGTTTTCAGAGCATGAATTGCCAATACTTTCAGGTAGTTTATTATTTTTATCACCTCAATTTCATATGTTGCTGTATCAATAATGGTCCCCATGACTATCAAAAATTGACAATTACAGAGTCAGCATTTGACCTTTGCTGCTAAATTGAAACCAAGCACCCTGCCTTAGATTTACAGCTTCAACAACCTCCTAGAGCATATTGCCTGTCTAAGGTACTAAACGTTTTTAAGTATTTTACTTGGCCAGTGAAAAAGTATGACTTACAATTAAGAAGCAAATTGCCAAATTTTAACTTTATGAGAGATACACACATATGCCAGTGGTCATTCTCATTACATTCAGATGAGTATTAGCTATTTTCCTCCCCTTCTTCCTATTCCTTTTCCTTGACTTCTTCTTCCCCCTTCCCTTTACTTTCCTCCTCCTCCTATTCACACTTCCCTTTCCTCTTCTCTCCTTTCTTTCCCTCCTCCCCCTTCTTCAACTCCTTCTTCTATTTTTTCTTATTTTCCATACTCTCCTTTCTTCCTTAATTACATATTTGTTTGTTGTTTTTACCAGATACTTAAGTTTAGAGATCCAACTATATGTCTTTTTTACTCTGGTGAATTAAAGGACAGGTTCCACCATTCATTAGTAACCCATGCAATCAGCAGGTAAAGAATCACTGAGCCTGGTCTTACCTGAGGACAGAATCCGATAGCCATCTCCCCTGGGAAGCAGTCTTACACCATTTTTGGTCCAGTGAATTGATGGAAATGGCACACCTGAAGCAGTGCAGGTAATTACTGCTGGGGCCCGTTTGGTTACCAAATAGTCTGTGGGCTCATCAGCTATGGAAGGTGGAACTAAAGCAATAGCAAGGACAAAAAGGAAACGGTAAACATTCCCCAACACTTACACTTTTCCAAACTATACTATACTACTCTACACTACACTGACTACATTAGCAGTGAATGCTAGGTAAATAGAAAAGGAAATCCATGGACGAAGTAGTGGAATAATGAAGTGAAGCATTTGAAGACTTTTCTGATCTTTCCTTTCTCTTCTTTTTGTTCTCATTTCATTTCTCTTTTCCTTTATGATCTTTTTCCTTTCCCTCTGCTCCCCTTTCCTTCCTTTCTTTTCCCTTCCTTTTGGTGGTATTGCAGTTTAAACTCAGGACCTCACTCTTGCTAGGAGTGTGCTCTACCACACGAACTATGACATGAGCAGCCGTTTTACTTCAGTTATTTTTAATTATTTTTCAGATAGGGGCTCATGCTTTTGGCCTAGGGCTAGCATAAATGGAAATCCTCCTATTTGTGTTACTTACGTAGGTGGGATTACATATGGTTTGCCGCCACTGTATGCTTTTACTTTCTCAGGCTGGATACAAACTGCAATACTCCCAATCTCTGTTTCTCTACTAGCTGGAATTAGAGGCATGAACCTATAACCACAATAACCACCTATAATTCCTTTCTATCTACTTGCTAAGCTGTGATACCTTGGACAGTGAGATTGATGGTTCTCCTATCCTCCCCAGCATCATTTGTCACAGTGCACTTATAGCTTGCGGTGTCATCCACAGATGGGGAAATAATTACTAGTGAACCCGAAGAAAGGAGCCTAGAAGAGAAATTTCAAAGCATGAGATCCTGTCTCTGAATTCCTGTATGTTTTTTCAGCTGGTACAACACAGTGATGTGTCTTTAATTAAAAGCAATGGAGCATCTCCTTCATGTTAAAATGAGCATCATTTAGCTCATGCAAACAGTGCATCAAAGTCTTTTATATGGCAGAGGGTCACAAACTTGACATTAATGGGAAGCAGTTGGCTGGCAGGATTGCCTGAAGAGGGATGCTTGCATTTGCTGAATGCAGATATCATGATCAAACTTGCTCTCCTATGACACATAAAGTGTTGTGAGCTCAGTGAGGCTTGCCATTGTTTATTAGTCATGGAATATATTCCTGGCCCATCCAAAATGCATACCATAAATTATCCTTAAGTTGTACAACACTTTTCAGGCTATTCTTTCTACTGGCAGAAGGGAAACTTCTGTGTGTCTCTTTTATTTCACCTATGTCCTTATTTGTGATGGCCCCTTTGAGAATGTATAGTATATGCACTTTGTGTGTATATACGTATATATATATATATATGTGTGTGTGTGTGTGTGTGTGTGTGTGTGTATGTATGTATTATACCCTATGTACACAATATAGTATATCTGTCTATCTGCATCTGTATTCTATACCATACATCTCAGCCATCTGTTTCTTCTAACCATTTCAAAATTAAATCAATCTGGATCTTCAAATGCTTAGGAGTTTTTAATGACAACACACATACACAATTTAAAATCAATATAAGTAAATATTGACTTTCTTCAAAGTGTACACTGATAGAAATATTTGGTTTAATGGAAATATATTGACATAACTTTTTATTCATCTTCTACATTATGTCCTTTTAAGTTATTCTCAATGTCAGAAAATTAGAAGGGTGAGAAAGAGTGCTTCCATTGAACATGCCTAGCTTTAGATATCCTAGTATGTCAGATTTTTGCATCTGTCAAATTAGATCTATGACAGCATTTTTTAGCACTATAGAAAATCATTTGACAGGATAATTATCTATTAGTGCAACTGACATGTCAAAAAAGAGGTTCCCTTAAACTGCTAGAAATTCTCAATGACTCAAAGGCAAGCCTTTACAAATGCATTACCCTATTATAAACTATGATAGTAAAGCTGAAGGAATGCAATACAAAGGCAGAAAATGCTGTATTTTTCTTTCACTCATATTGCCAAAACATCTATATTGTATTTTAAAGTACAAGTATAAATTTCCTCCCTTCCCTTTTCTTCCCTTTCCTTCCTTCCACATTCCCTTCCTCCCTCCCTATCTTTTCCTGTCTTTTAACAAATGATGGTTTTATCCTTTATTTTTATGAAATTCCAAAAGGGGCTAACGAAATGAAGTAGGATTAAAATTCAATCCTACAGACCTCACTGACAGTCACTCACAGGCTTATAAATAGAAAAGTGGTTGCTTTAATTCACAAAAAATACTTTAGGTTGGAAACCTAATCTTGCACTAAGGAAAAGTATTCTCTCCTTTCTTACATCTTATATATTTGCTGTCCCCAGTGAAAGAGGTAAAATACTGGTTCTTAAAACAAATAATTGTTTCTAAACAGTAGATGGGGTTTTTCAATGAGATTTTTTTCTTTCTTTGTATTGTAAAGGTGATGTACAGAGGGGTTACAGTTACATAAATCAGGTAATGTGGACCTATCTTTTTGAACAGTTACTCTTCCCTTGTTTTCTCCCTGATTTTTCCCTCCCAATCCTCTTCCCCCACAAGTTATGTAGTTCATTTTCATCATTGTGTCTAGTGAGTATGCTGTTACATTTCTTCACCCTTTGTCCCACCATTTTTGTGCTCTGCCTTACCCTCCCAAAGACAGATTAACTTACAGCATAATACAAAAGGTACAGTAATCAAAGGAGGAAGTGCAACAAAGGAAGAAAAACACCAAAAACAAAAACAAAAACCTCTTCCCTCATTTGCAGTAATTAGAATGTGCCTATAAATCTACAAGTAATGACAATGAATGGTAAAAGACAAAAAAAATTACACTTACACATGATACATTAAATAGGACTTCAAACATTCACACAAGGCAGACATTCTTAGGAGAGGATCACAAAGGCTCAATAGCCATGTGCATATGTTCATATCATATGATGTTTATCAAAATGAACTCCAAGATATGGAAACAAAAGGTTTTTCTTTGTTGTTGTTGTTAATGTACTGTGTGAAATGATTACTTTTTTCTTTAATTTTTTTCTTTGGTTTATCCCCTGTTGTCACTATATTTGCTTTTGGTACCCTGTGTCTTATGTATGCATTTAGATGAATTGGGGAAGGGAAGGGAAACAATAAAGGACAAAGGACAAATCAATGCAACTGTGATACAATACAAAGCTTTAATACATGTCTGAAGTGATATTCTGGTTACTCTGATCTGACAAATATACACTCTCTCTATGTGTGTATATATATATATATGTATACATATATACACACACACATATATATATATATATATATATATATATATTGAAATGTCACATTGTACCCCATGACTATGTAAAATCACCATCTCAATTAAAACTGAAAGCATTTTAAAAATGAATCAATTATTCTTACCTGTATGAATTCTGATTCTGATCCACATTAAGAAGATAGCCATTTTTCCTCCAGCTGATGGATGGCTTTGGTATCCCTGTCGCCTCACAAGCCAGGGTAGTCTGGACATTTACTGTGACAGTTATATTGGTAGGACCAGGAGCAATAGATGGAGGAACTAGGACAATGTCATGGAAGCAGAAGAAAACACACTCAGCAAACAGGATGGCATTTGAAGCATCTGCTGAACTAAATTTCATCCCTGGTAACTTGTCTCATAGACATAATACCACAGAGCACTGTGGATTTAAATTGTGCTGTGATGATATAAACTATCCTAAGGGGGAAGTGTGGGTTGTGTTTGTCCACAATATAAGGTAATGTGTTTAAATAGCTTTCCATACCAAAGGCCTTTACAAACTCCCCCCCCCCCCGACTTTTTTGTTGGTCATGGGGCCTGAACTGTGGGCCTGGGTGCTTTCCCTCAGCAATTCAGCTCAAGGCTAGTGCTCTACCACTAGAGCCATAATACAACTTCCAGCTTTTTCTGATTATGTGATGCTGAGGAATCAAACCCAGGGCCCCATGCATGCGAGGCAAGCACTCTACCACTAAGCCACCTTCTCATCTCCATACCCCCTTTCTTTTAACAAAGAAACTTCTTGTTTTCATTTTCTATAGTTCATTTCAATAAATATTATTTTATATGACCAGATGCACATAGGTATTGCACCTTTGTGTTCTCCTAAGACTAATCCTCTGGTCTCACTATGTGTGAATGCCTAGAATTCACTCCTTTAAGTGATCAAAAAACACTTTTACCCAGAGCACAGATGTTGCTTTTAAGTGTATATTTACCGTGGACCTGTAAGTCTATTCTCCTACGAGCTGTTCCAGCCACATTGGTAGCCATACACAAATACCGTCCTGTGTCTGCGACATGTGCTGATTGAATATGAAGAAATCCATTTTCCAAGATGGAGTACCTACAAGAAAGATGAGTTCCCTTGAATTGGCCTTTTCTCTATTCTTTATTGAAAAGCCATTTAAAAGACTCAGTGAAATCTATTTAGGCTTTTTTCTGCTTTGGATGATACTTAACATTTGAATGACACTTGGTAGAAAAGGAGGATGTAGTATCCTGGGCATCGGTAGCTCAGGCATGTAATTCTAGCTACTCAGGAGGCTGTGATGGGAGGATTACTGTTAGAAATCAGACCAGGCAGAAAAGTCCACAAGAACCCATCCTCAATTAACCAGCAAAATACTAGATTGTAGGTGTGACTCAAGTGGTAGAGAACTAGCCACAAGCAAGCAAAACAACCATGCTCAAAGTCCTGAGCTCAAACCCTTCCCTAACAAAAGGATACAATGCAATGGTACATAGCAGACAGGCTGTGATCTTGAATGAATTGTAATCATTAGGCAGATGTAATTGTAACTATTAGCCTTAGGAATTAAGCATTCCTCTTATTGGTATGAAAAAATTAATTGTAAACATAATAATACCAATAATGCATTTACAACATTAGCAATGAAGACTTAAAGATTTCTGTTTTAGTTTATTTTCCAGAACAGTTACCTTGAATGGTCCCCAGAAAGAACAGACCCATCCTTTCTCCATGTTACCCTTGGGACTGGCACACCTTCAGTGAGACATTCCAGCACAGTCGACTTATTTAACAGAGTTACAAGACTCTCCGGGCCACCTTTTATGTTTGGAGGAACTGAAGAAGAAATAAACATAACAATCTAGTTATACTAAATAATATAACCTCCAGGAAAAGTTTGACGATGTAATGAGAGCTTTGAGTGAAGTGTTTAGTTGTGTCTACACTAAGCTAGGTTAGTATAAATAGAACTGAAGTTTAATCGATGGAGTCTTACTGAAGATACTCTATGTTTAAAAATAAAGAGTAGATGGGGAGGAAATTTTGAAATCCCTGATATGGTGTATGAAATCTAGATCTCTGTGAGAGAAACTTGAATAAGAAACTGCTCTGGTATGATGCAAATTAGAGATGATATTTCTTATTTCTCTTTGGCCAAATAATGGTCAGAGAATGTTAACACTGGAACAAGTTCACTTCAAATCAAGAACAGAAAGTGGGCTGGTGCTGCAGAAAACACATCTGTTATTCATCACAGAAGTCTCAGAACATGGATTTTGTTAATCACTGACTTCATGTGGGAAAAGAAAGACTGAATTTTAATTTTTGTATTAAATGTATTAGTTGTGTGGGTCATCTAATTATCCTGTAAAATGTCACATATTAAAAATCCAAGGGGACTATTTTTGGGAAAAAGTCTGCTTTTCTTTCTACATTTCTGGCAAGCATTGATATTTACATGTCATATTTAAGAAAATTACAGAACTCTTGGCAGTATTTGACAAAACATCAATACTAGGAACATATAGAGCATTTTCTCAAGCCACTACCAGTAAAGGTGATCTAAATGATGGTCCATTTTTCATTCAAAGACTTGGTGGACTCATTTATCAGTGGCTCTAACTTGAATAAGGGAAAATGTCTATCTCTATGTCTTTTGGAAACTGTTTGTAATATTCTGACAAGTAACAAGTACTATGTGTGGCTTTATTTTCAAAATAAATAACATAACCTGGAAGATTTACTTGATAAGCTCCTGAAAAATCATGCCATCTCTTTGAATGCCTTTGATTAAATTTTTTTAATAGTGAAACAATGAATAATCCTTCTTACCATTTACAGTGAGAATAAATTCTCTTGTGGTTTTTCCTGCAATGTTGCTAGCCACACAGGTATAATTGGCCGTATCTCCTAGATCTGCATTGTTAACTTGCAAATATCTCCCTCCAGATAAGATTCTCACTCGAGGTGTTGCCTAGACCCAATAAATAAAATTTATCATTAATTATTGTATTTTTGAACTTGAGACATCATGCTTCCTAGGAGCGTTTCTACCACTTGTACCACACCCAACCTTTCGACACTTATCACGGTGTTAGGAAAAGAGAATAAAATGTTGTTTTATAGCATTCGAGTAATATACTAGTATTTCTTGGTATTACAATCTTTATAGTAGTATCAAAATCCCTGGGAACTATTTCAATGACCTCAGGGAAGTTGAGGCATGAATATGGGCTCAGTTCCCGTGGCACAATGGACACAAGGATCCATTCACAGATATTTCTGTGTTTACCACCTCACAAAGGCTCTATAGCCATTTTTGTCTTAAAACTGAACTTCTGCAAAAGGCTTACCTGCAACTGCTCTCCATTTCTGAGCCACATAATGACAGGAGGGGGAACTGCATCCGACTTGCATTCCAGTGTCACCTGTCTGTTCTGTACCACAGTCACATCCTGGGGTTCACCAGTTCCCACAATATTAGGGGGTACTAGACATGAATGGAAGACATCAAGCACTTTTAATAAATGTAACGTAAAGCATCTGATCTATCAATAATCAACAAATGTTCATTTTGCTTGTTGGTACTGGTCAGGGATGAGGATTGGGGGCCATGAGAAGAGTGGACAGAGGGAGTAAGTCTGATACGTTATATGCACATGTCAAAATGAAACTCCCTGTAAAATTAATTGATGCTAATGAAAAGTAGAAAAATTATATTTGTAAAATATGCATTTCTTAATTTAAAACAAGTGTTATATGCTGCGTTCTGTATCGTAACTTTGGGTTATGAGCGTGTAGCTAGAACATAGGACTTGTTGCCGATTTACCATGCACTCGCACTAAGTATTCTTTGTCGTCATCGCCTGCAGGACTGGAGGCCAGACATGTGTACCTTCCTGTATCCTCCACCTACAAAACCCAAATAAGGAAATTGCACAACATTAACATGGTGTTAAATCCTATCTTGAGCAAAATCATTAAGGAAGCATAGAAACTATATTAAACTTATCATTAGTAGTAATACTTTTTATCAATATTCAGATACTAAGCAGTGCTTAACAGCTCTATTACATGTGAAGCTGTATTTTAAATAGATTTTAGTATTTGACCTAAAAATGACCTAATGCCACATACAATAGACTAGACATCCAATGTCGATTGAAGAAATACATGATAGTCTTAAAGAAGAAAGTAAAATATATTTATTAAGACAAAATATGAAGTTGTTGAAATCAAACACATCACTTTTGGTGAACAGTTTAATCTTTGGCATGACAAAATAAAATGGTAAGATGTTGTTTATAAATAAGGCCAGACTGACAGCAGAATCTACTATTATCTGACAAAAACTGCCTGGTTTCTACTGGAAGTTAACCTTCACTAGTTATGTTTTGCCTTGTACACACACAATGCAATAAGGGCACTAGGTCTAACTGGCACCATCTTGGCAACGTGGCAGATGGTAGGGAATTGCTTCTAATTAGAGTCATCTTGGTTTCTTGGTGGATGAAGGTGAAGTCCCATCCACAGTGATAGGCATGCCTGAATTCCTAGAGGCACGGGCAGGAACTTGAATAATAGGTTACTGGACCTGCCAGAACTATACCATGAACTCATGAGCACCTTTTGACCCTGCACCTTACCATGACCTTATTTAGGCCCCAACCAGCTCAGTCTCCATTTTGTGCCATGCTTCTTGTCTCCTGACACTCCTCGAGTCACTATGGCGCCCTATACAGCTCTCCAGTGGAGTAGATCAGGATTGTTGAAATAGTTTTTCTGCTCTCTCTTTACTACCCTCATGGCTCAATTTCCCAACAGTATTAAGCACATCTGAGGCTGCAAATTTTTGTGGGACATGTGTCCTCCTGAAGTCACTGGCTTTCTAATTAAACCTCTCAAAGTTGACCTCTCAAAATGTGGCATCTCTGTATCTCATGATCAAAGTCCTGTATAACAATAGCATATGTAGAGAATATGCTGGAAAATGAGTGTCCTTTCTGCTGTGAAAAATGGATTGGGTAAAAGTAGCAAAGGCCTGTTTTCATTTATTTTATTACTGAACATTCCTAAAATATTGGGATTTTTAACAATCTTGAATTGAAAATTGACTTTACAGGTTATGGAAAAGCTGCAAAAATTCTTTTGAAAAATTTAGATATAGAATGTCTGGAAAAATAGTCAAATATATTTTAGAGCAACTCTCTCCTGAGCTTCTTTTAATTAAGATTTTTTTTAAATTGTGTATCATTTCCCAGAGAATAATTTATGAATTTCTCATTATATTTTTAAAACCTCTAAAGAAAATGTTTCATTAGGAACTCTTGGTCATTCCAAATCAATATTGCCCCCTCCATTTTTCTCCTCTTGGCCAATCTTGAACCATCATACATGGCTGGCTACTCTGAACCTTTGCCTCCTCTGGGAAAGATTTTCCGCCAAACTCTTTGTGGATACCCACTGGCACTATTTGCAGTTACAATTTCTAAAATGTGCTCTGTTAATAGGGAGTTAAAAATTATAATCAATCACATGTCTTCAGATTGTTCTGCAGAATTGTTGACATGTGTTATGGCTTACAAGGAGATAGAGTATATGAACGTTTTCAATCTAGTTGGTGGCAGAATGGTCTCATTCTCCCCTGAGAATAAATTAGATAGAAGATATTTTAGGAAACTTATGTCTTTCCATACTAGAATTTGCAAAGCATCCATTATGTGCAGATAAATACAAAGTTCATTTAAGTACAATAGACTGGGGTAAGTACTAAAACAGAGCTATGTTCAAAACACAAAGATACTCTTCAATAAACTACCAGAATTCCTAGCAAGAGCAATTAGGCAAGAGAAAAACACAAAGAGAATCTGAATAGAGAAAGAAGAAGGAAAATCCCTCTTGCAGATCATATGATCCTGTACATGAAGAACCCTATATTCCATTCCAAGTTACTTGAGCTGATCTGACACTTGGCAAAATAGCAAGGTATAAAATCAATCCACAAAAATCAATAGCTTTTCTGTATGCCAACAATGAGAAGGCTGAGATTGAAATCAGGAAAGCAACTCCATAACCTTCAAAAAAATCCTAGGAACTAACCAAACATTTGACGAACCTTTATTGTAAAAACCTTAAAAATCTGAAAAAAGTAATTAAAGCAGATTCAAGGAAATAGAAAAACCTTCCATTCACCTTGATTGGAAGAATTGCATTGTGAAAATGGCAATATTGTCCAAAATAATTTACAAATTCAACACAATACCCATTAAAATTCCAATAACATTCTTCAATAAAATAGAGAAAGCAATCCCAAATTTCATATGGAATAATAAAAGATCTCAAATAACAAAGACAGTCCTTAGTAGAAAGAACAGTGTTTGAGGAATATCAATACCAAACATCAAGTTCTATTACAACGCCATAGTCATAAATAAACAGCTTGGTACTGGCACAAGAATAGGTATTAGGATCAATGGAACAGAAAAGAAGACTCAGAAATGAACCCACAGACCTATAGCAACTTAATATCTGATAAGGGAGCCAAAAACAAAAGTTGGAAGAAAGACAGCTTGTTCAACAAATGGGGCTGGTAAAATTTGCCATTCACATGTAGAAAACTGAAGCTAGATCCTTATATATCACTCTGTAACAGAATCAGCTCAAAATGTATCAAAGACCTCAATGTAAGGCCAGATACCATAAAAAATAATACAGGACAGAGTAGGGGAAACACTAGGGCTCCTTGGCACAAGTCAAAAACTCCTAAATAATCACAACAAATCAAAGACTGGATAATTGGGATTCAATTGAGCTGAAGAGTTCCTACATGGCAGAATGGGAAAAGATTTTTTTTTTTTACCAATTATGCATAAGGGCCTGATTTCTAAGATATACTTAGAGCTCAAAAAATTAACCATCCAAAATGAACCTTCAAAGAGACAACAATCCAATTAATAATTAGGCTAAAGACTTAGGGACTTCTCCAAAGAAGAAATAAGAATGGTCAATAGACACATGAAGAAATGTTCAATTCTGGCCATAAAAAATGCAAATCAAAACAACATTGAGATTCTACCTTATACCAGTTAGAATGGCTATTATCAAGAAAACTAACAATAACAAATGCTGGTGGGGATGTGGCCAAAGGAAACTTTACTATTAAACTTGATTAGTCACTTTGGAAACCAGTAAGGAGGTTCTGGGACTCAGCCCAGATGCCCCTCAGTGGTTGAATGGATCAAGAAAATGTGGTATATATACACAATGGATTTCTATTTATCCATTAAAAAGAATGATATTATACCATTCATAAGGAAATGGAAAGACTTGGGAAAAAATGTGTTAAGTGAAGTAATCTAGACCCAAAGAAACATAGGTTTCCTCTCATATGTGGTAGCTAGAATATGCCTATAAATTTATAACTAAACACACTGGATGGTTTAAAAAAATACACTAGACCATGATAAATTACACAGATCTCTAGGCATTCACCCACAGTGAGACCAAATGAGGATAAGATTCTTAGGAGAGCAACATAACAAAGGTTTAATACCTATGTGCATCAGAGCCTATAAAATAATATTTATTGAAATAAACTCCAGGAAATGGAAATGAGGATTTTTTCTTTGTTGCTGTTTTTGTCTTCTTTTCCTTTTGTCTTATTTGTCTTTGGGAGGGTAAGGGGGCACACAGCAACAGTGGGGCAAATGGTGAATAAATGCATCAGTGATACTCATTAGACACTACGTTGAAGATGAACTATACATCTTGTGGGTGGTGTGGGAGGGAAGCACTGGGAGAGGGGGTGACATTGTTCAAACAGTGATGTACTCTTTATCTGACTTATATAAGTATAACCCCACTACAGATCACCTTTACAATAACAATTAAAAATGCATTAAAAACACTAGGAGAGAATCAGTGGAATCAAGAGATGTCTTCAAAATTGCTCATATTTAATATTCTGCTTCAATGCAATTTTAATTGTCTTCTTCTTATTTCTTATCTACCTGGATTTTGTGTGTAATTTTATGTCTGTAAGACAGAGAAAAACTTGTTGCAGGGTTTTGATTCAGAAAGGGGTATGACAGCTTAACCTAGCTTTATGCAGTGTTTGGAAGGGAGATGTAAGAGGAAATGAGTGTTTGTTTGCTAGGACACTAGCTATAAACTGTGATGCAATCCATTGGCTAGACTTCACAAGCCAGGCTCAAGACCCAGCTCCATCACTGAGCAATGGTGAGTCTTTGGCAGACATATACTTAATTTCTCTGTATTTTTTCCCTGAGTTTGTAAACTGGGGGTGAAGATTCACAAAAGAATGCCAAGTGGGCTAGGAATGGGGCTCAGTGGTAAAGTGCTTGCCTAGCATGCATGAAACCCTGGATTTGATTCCTCAGTACAACATAAGCAGAAAAAGCTGGAAGTGGTGCTGTGCCTCAAGTGGTAGAGTGCTAGTCTTGAGCAAAAGTCCCAGGACTGGCAAAAAAATGTCAAGAATATGTTGCCCAAGGCTGAACACTAGACAATTTATAAAACAGCTGTCTTGCAATCTTGCGATTTTCTTTCTTTCCTCTTTGTCAGTAAAACAACAAATTACATATAACAAATTTCTTATTCTATGTTGAGCAGAGTGATGATTATGATAACAAGAGAAAAAATTGTGCCTTTTCCCTCCTTCTTTTGAAACACATATTTTTGTGACACTAGACTAGGCATAGAATGTTAGACTATGTCTTTCCCAGTATATGTAAAAGTATCTTTTTTTTTCAGCTTGCAAATGAATCTTAGGGCACAAAGAATCTGTAGTATAAAGCTTGCCTAAACTAAAGGTTGTAGTCAATTTTAAATTGATCACTGTTTGAAAATCTGTGTCTCTTCAGACATCTACACCTGTTAGTTCATATTGGAAATCAAAAGTGCCCTTTGAAGTATCACATAAACATATGTTGGATTCCATCTTGCTGGTTAAGAAGATGCTAAGAAGCTTCAGGACATGTACTAACACAGATCTGTGAAAACACTTAATAGTTAATGAGTTGGACTCTTGTTGTTTCAGAGTTTAGTATTAGTCTTCCTTCTAGACACGCCTATCATAAAAGAAATCTACCCTTAGTAAAGTTGCAGAGAATTCTGAAGTGTTTAGATGAAAAGACATAGTGTATCTAACAATTCTAATATAGTACAAGAAAGAAGTTTAATCTGGAATAACATGATTGCATAAACGTTGACACTTACTTGAGTACTAGATATTCGAAGAAGAGCCCCTCCTTGTAGAGTCTGCACCTGATCGGTGTGTGCGAGGGGCCGGCCATCTTTCATCCAGGCAATTTTAGGGGTAGGGATTCCAGAAGCAAAGCAGGAAAGTTCCAGTGGATAATTGACAATTACTGACACCTCTCCAGATCCTTCAGATCCATTAATGTGTGGTGGTTCTATGTAAAGAGATTCAAAACAATAGCAAAATAAATCTGCTCTTTGATTAAAAAAATACAGTTGATTAGAACCCAAGAAGACAATTCAGCTTAAATTTACAGTCATGTGATAAGAATCCAGAAATTGAAGTGATTGCGCCTATCTATTATAACCATTTCTCATCATTGCTCCAATTTCAAAACACTTGACATGATGACTTATGCAAAAAGCACATTAGTTAAGTCTGAGATGCACTAAAGTTTTACACTTCTATTTTTAACATTATTAGTTCACATCTTTTATTAGCTAATATTAGTTGTTGAAGGAAGAGCATAGTGACTGACATTTCTATACATAAAATGTACCCATTAACCTCACCCCCTCCATCACTCACCTCACCCCTCATTCCATCTTCTTAAAACAATTTCCACAGGTTTCACAGTTCTATTTCCATACATGTATATATGTTGACCATTTTCATCTTCATTCATCTCTTCCATTCACCTCACTCCAACCCATTGATACCTAGGCCTCCAACAATACCTTGTTTGACTTTCCTGTCATTAATGGTTTACTGACTATTACTAACAAGACTACAAAATACAATTTTTGAATAATTTTTTGAATACATTAAAAGATACAAATTGGGATCTTTTAATGAGAAAGAAAGAAGAGGTCAGGAAGAAAGAGAGCCAAATAAATAGTTCTGTAGCTCATATTGAAGTGATAGAGGTGAAAGAAAAACACATATTTAACAAATGATTGCAGGTAAAAGTATTGGGTCTTGCTTATGGATCTGGACTTAGGAGAATGATGGAAAAGTTAAAAAGAATGACTCTTAGTGACTGCTGATTGTCAGATCTATCACATGATTCAGGAGATATAGGAAATGTACCAGATTCTGAGTAAAACAGACTTAGGCTGAACATACTGACTTGGAAATGCTCTTAAATGTCCAAATACAGATGTTTATATGATTATTGCCTTTCTGAATCTAGGGCTCAAAACAGAACTAGACTAGAAATTCAAGGGTCCTCAGAGGGTAGGCTACTACTCTGGCCCAAGTTTAAGACCTATGGCAACCATAAGATAAAATAATTTGCCATTACCACATGCAAGATCCAGAAATTGGGATTTGAACCAAGAGGGACAATATTGTAGTTACTACTGTTGTTGTTTTAAAACTCTCCATGATAGACTTGTGGATGGAGGCAAGGTCTAATTAATCTTTATATTCATAGTAATTGAAATGTAGTAAATAATGAAGAGTTGACTATAGCCAAGTGGAAGAGTAGACAGGTGCTATGAAGTGGTAGAGCACAATCTGCAATTGAAAGATGTAGACACATTACCATTAACCTAAAGCATCAAGAAAGCATTTGTGGTTTTGTAAACATAAACTTAATGATGTTCATATAACCCCAATAGGGAGTGGTAGCATTGTGAAGAACAGAGATGGACCAGGCCTGTTGAAGGAGGGTGATAGCCTAATTTGAAGTTTAGGTCATTTGAAACATATTAATAGGAGATAATGTTACAAAGATAAAGTCTATGTCATAGAAACTTTGGAAGCCATGATGCAAGTGTACTTATTCTATAGGTACTAATCATGTTTTAGTCAGGAGAATCAAGGTTCACTTATGCCTGGGCATAAATGTGAGACTCTTATTTGAAACTTAACTAAAGAAAAAAAAACAAAAAAAGCTAGGAATGTGATGCCAGTGGTAGAATGTCTGCCTGGCAAACAAGAAGCCCTGAATTCAAATCCAGCACCACACACAAAAAAGCCAGATGATAATTAAGAAATTTGAATTCTTTCATTGTCAGAAACAGCCAACAGAGTTAATATGTATCTTTTTCCAGAATGGAAAAGGAGAATTATCAGAAAATTTTAGGAGACAGATTTTTATGACAATATTATCAGCTGTAGTAAATTGCAGTGGTAATGTATAAACTTTAATTGCAAAATAGAACAGATATAGACACTTACCAGAAAATTCCCCATTTGGAAAATTTCTCATAGATAGGATGGTACCTGAATTTGTTGACTAATGAGATGTGTTTTTTGTAGCGCTTCTAAGAAAGTCTGTAAAGATGCTACACCAAAGCCATAGGCCCTTCCTGTTTTCCCTGCTTTGTTGTTCAGGTAGAGCACACTGCACGATCATTGACCAGTCATGATGCAAGAGAACTGCAAATATCTGAACTGCTAAACCAGTGCTACAACAGCCAAACTTTATGTATCTTTCTCAGTGAGACAAACAAAAGTTGTTCAGGCCAAGGATGTAGCTCAGCGGTACAAAACTTGCTTAGCATGCACAAGACCCTGCGTTAGGTTCCCCCAACACCATAATAACAAAAGGTTCTTTGTTTAAGCCACCATATTTAAACTACTCTGAACAACCAAACACAATTCCTAAATAGAACTCATTCTTTCTCTTCTCTGAAGTGCCTTCCACTTTGAAACAGAATAGTCTTTTCCAGATACAGATCTACACATGTTATTCCATGGTGATTTCACATTATGGAATGAAAAAACAAATTTTCATGTGGTCAGCAAGCCCAATTGCCTAGATCCTGTCAACCCCCTCCCCCTCCCTCCCCCCCCCCACTTCCCTAGTTTTATTTTGTATAATGCTCTTTCTTGTTTTGGCTCTCCCAGTCACATTGTGCATTTTCACAACCACTAATACACCACGACACCTCGCACCACGTGGGTAGAATTAAGCTGGGAATGGCAGCTCCCCAAGTTAAGACATTTGCATTCTGAGTAGTAGCACTGTTCTATGCAAAGAGCTTTTAAGAGTGCAGTGGAATTAATTTTCAACAGATGCGGAAACTTCTCATCTTTCTGTTGTGCCAGCTTTGAAATCTGTTTTCGAAGAAGTATTATCCCTATACACTCTTCAACTGGGAACGCTGTTCTTTGTATACTACTGGAATAGTATCATGGTTGGTTATCTCCTTCATTTCTTTCAGTGATGCCCTGGTCAGTGACTTTTGCTGCTGTATTTTCAAAGGACATCCTATGCTCTTCCCTCTTCCTTCTCCGTAGATATAGTATAGATATAGATATAGTAGCTAAGACTTCTATATATATTTTCAGAGCTTCGTAGTACATGTCTCTCTCTCCTCTCTCTGTCTCTCTCTCTCTGTCTCTCTCTTTCTCTCTCTCCCTTTTCTTTCTTGCTCAGGATTCTCTTTGCCTTTCAACGAGGCCTGAACTATTTAAAATACTTTCCAGGATTTTTGCAGTTAGCACATCTAGTGTCTCATACCTCTTTCCTTTCACATTCCTTTTACATTTGTACAAACTGACAGCTGAAGCTTGATCATCTCTAGGTGAAAGACAGGCAAGAGTCTAACTCTCTACTCATTTCCAGAATTCCACCCTTCAGAACTCACACTTATCCTTAAGGGGATCTAAATCTTGAGGTTACCAACACCCAGAATGTTCTATTAACCACACAATCCTCATCACAACTCAGAGTAATTACTTGTTCAGTACCTTTGCTTCCCCCAGATGAAGGACCTATAGGATGGTTTTTTGTCCTTTTTATTCTCTGATGTGTTTAAGGATCTGCCATATAGTAAGCATCCTTAATGCTTTGTTCAATAATGGTTAAGAACATGCCCGGTACTTAGGCATATTTAGTAATTAATATTTAATATATGAGTAATCAGGCATAAGATAACCATACAACATCTATGTTACTAATACTCTGTAAATTGATACATCTATATTTGCTATCAACCCTCATCCCACCCCTTCCAGACATTTTCTTTCTTCTTTTGCCTCTGATTATCCTACAGAATTTCCTCTATGAGCACCACCTCCATTCTCTGAAGTATCAGAGACCAGAGTATTTCACTTATTTTATTTAGATACTGTTTGGCCTCCCTCAATACTTACAGTCCCCATTACTACAGTTCAAAAGTATCTCCCTCAGTGTTAAATTCAGCCCAGCAAATAAACATCACCAGTCTCTAACAAATCAGATGTCAGTCTACCTACTAAGGCACAACGATAAGCAATGTGCACACTGCCTTTGCCACCATAAAGCTTAACTGGGAATGCAGCAGAGTTTCAATGTTATATAAACAAGTACTCTGAGGAAGCAGCCCTTAAGTGAAGAAAGGCAGATCCAAAGAAACATAGGTTCCATGGAATGTGCCTATACATCTGTAAGTAAACCCAATGGATAGTAAAAGACAAAAAATTACATTTGGACAAGATAACTTAAACAGGACTCTAAATATTCACACAGTGAGAACAAAGGTGGATATTCTTAGGAGAGAATCACAAGGACTCAATAGCTATGTGCATATGATCATATAAAATGAGGCTTATTGAAATGAACTACAAGAAGTAGAATCAATGTACAAGTCGTTATGTCAAAAAATGAATTTTACAACTTTGGTGCGGGCGGGGGGGGTAGCGGGGAGGATTGAATGGGGGTGTGGGGAGGATGGGGAGGGATGGGAAGGGTAAACAAAGGAGGAGGCTACAATGCTTGATAAGAAATGTACTCATTATCTTGCCCATGTAATTGCAACCCCTCTGTACAGTAGTTTCACAATAAAAAAAAAGAAGCTTTTTATTTTACTGTTTGCGGTTCTTTTTTTTCTGTTTTTTCCCCTTTTGTTACTGGTTTTGATTTCTGTACCTTTTGTCTTGTATATTAAGTATATCTGATGAACCAATTCAGCAGTGATACTCACTAGACACTATGTTGGAAATGAACCGTACAACTTAGGGAAGGAACGGGCAATGGAGGAAAAAGTCTGGGAGAAAATGCGGGAAGGGGTGACACTGTTCAAAAAGAAATGTACTTAATACCTGACTTATGTAACTATGACCCTTCTGTACATTACCTTTACAATAAAAATAAAATTGTTAAAACGGTAGACTCTGGTGCTAAACACTTGCCTGAAAACTTTTGCTATTCTCTATAGTGTGAATTTCTGTGCTATGAGAGAAGCCTGGCCCCTCCCCTACATCAAAATAGAGGAAGAGAACAAAAAAAAAGTCTTGGTCTTGATTACTGAAATAGCATTCACCTTCCTTTTCCTTCCAAGGTCAGAATTTTTGCTTCAAGGAAAAGGTGTGATTTTTCTTTATGCTATTTGTTTTTATGTGAAAAGTTGGAATACATACAATATTTACTTTAAAGGTACACAATAGTAAATAAAGCTAGCCATCAGTGGCTTGTGCCTGTAATCCCTAGCAACTCAGGAGGTTGAAACTAAGAACTTCAGTTCAATACCAGTCTGGGCAGGAAAGTCTATGAGACTCTAACCTCTCATTAACCAGCAAAAAGACAGAAATGGAGCTGTAGCTTAAGTGATAGAGTGTCAGCCTGAATTAAAAAGCTAAAAGATCCAGGTGCTGGGAAGTTGGCTCAGTGGTAGAGCACTTGCCTTGCATGCCTGAGGCCCTAGGTTCGATTCCTCAGCACTACATAAGCAAAAAGAAAAAAAAAAAAAGCTAAAAGATACATTCATCTACTGAGGGGCATCTGGGTTGGTTCCATATCTTAGCTATGGTAAATAATGCTGCAATAAACAGAGTTGTGGTGGTAGCTTCAGTATGGTTTTGTTTGTGATCATTCAGGCAAATGCCCAAAAGTGGGATTGCTGGGTCATAGGGGAGCTCTATGTGGAGTCCTTTGAGGAACCTCCATACTACTTTCCAAAGTGGTTGAACAAGTTTACACTCCTACCAACAATGCAGCAAGGTTCCCTTCTGTCCACATCCCCTCTAGCATCTGTTGTTATTAGAGTTCTTGATTCTAACCATTCTAACTGGGGTGAGGTGGTATCTCAATGTTGTTTTGATTTGCATTTCTTTTATGGCTAGGGAGGTTGAGCATTTCTTCACTTATTTATTGGCTATCCTTGTTTCCTCTTCAGAGAAGTTTCTCTTTAAGTCTTTAGCCCACTTATTTATTGGGCCATTGTTTCCTTGAGGATTTGTTGTTGGGGGATGTAATTTTTTGAGTTCCAAGTATATTTTAGATATGAGACCCTTGTCTGTTGTATGGCTAGTGAAGATCTTTTCCGAATCCGTGGGCTTTCTATTATCTTGCTAGCTATGTCCTTTGCCATGCAGAAGCTCTGCAATTTCATGCAATCCCATTTGTCCAACCTTTCTTTGATTTGTTGTGTTTCTGGGTTTCTATTAAGAAAATTTCAGCCTGTGTCAAGAAGATCTAGGGTTTCTCCTATTCCATCCTGTAATGTTTTCAGGGTGTCTGCTTTGACTCTGAGGTCTTTGATCCATTTGGAGTTGATTCTGGTACAGGAATTCTATGCCTCCATAAGAAAGAATGACATTGCCCCATTTATTAGGAAATGGAAAGATTTGGGAAAAATTATATTAAGTGAAGTAAGCCAGGCCCAAAGAAACATAGGTCCCATGGTTTCCATTGTTTGCAATTACTAGTATATGTCTAGGACAAGCAGAAAAGGTCAGATAGGTTGATGTTAGGCAAAATGAACCTCAAGATAAAGATTCAAATGTTTTTTTTTTCTTTCTTGCAATTGTTTCTAACATATTTATAAGATGATTTCTTGGTTACTTTGTATGGCCCTCCCCCATGGCATAAGACCTGCTTTCACTGTATTTGATGTTGGTATAATTTGTGGAGGGGAAGCAAAAAATCAAATTGTTTAAAAAGGGATATAGGTGGACCCATTGCAACAATGAGATGTACAAGACGTTATGTCAAAAAAAGAACTTTACAACTTTGGCGGGGGGCAGGAGGACACAAAGTGGGAGCAGGGTGGGAGGAGTTGGGAAGGTATGGGAAGGGGAAACAAAGGAGGAGGCAATAATGCTTGATAAGAAATGTACTCATTACCTTGCTCATGTAATTGTAACTCCTCTGTATGGTATTTTCACAATAAAAAAAAAAAGCTAAAAAGAAAGTTCTTAGGCCCTGAGTTCAAGCCCTTCCATTGACACAAGAGAAAAAGAAAGTAAAGCAAACTACACTATTTGAAAGGACAGCTTCAAATATGATCTACAGATTGAACCATTTAAAACTGTTTGGGATGACATATACTGGTGTAAATACCCCTTTTGAATAAAAGAATTTTTATTATCAAATGTGTTTTTATAAAGGTCCCATGGTTTTCCTTATTTGCAATAACAAGTATACCAGACAAGTAGAAAAGATTAAAAGTTATGCACATATGACCAATAAGATGATCATAAACAAAATGAACCCCAAAATAGGGACACGAGGTTTTATCTTTGTTGCTTTCTTGTTGTTGTTGTTTGTTTTGTTTTTTGTTGGTAGTAGGGCCTGAACTCAGAGCCTGGGTGCTGTCCCTCAGCTCTTCAGCTCAAGGCTAGCACTCTAGCACTTGAGCTACAGTGCCACTTCTGGCTTTTTCTGCTTATGTGTGCTAAGGAATCAAACGCAGGGTCTCACACATGCAAGGTAAGCATTCTACCACTGAGCCACCTTCCCAGCCCTGTTGCTGTTGTATTTATAATGTACTTTAATGTACTTATAACGGGATTTCTTTTGTTTCTTGCATATTTTCTTCCCCATGATATAACTCCTGTTTTCACTGTATTTGATTCTGGTACCCTGCATCTTATATATACATTTTTCTAATTTGGGGAGGGGAAGGGAAATAATTTAAAAAATGTGTTTTTAGTTCTCACAATTGCATTTTTTAAGTTACCCATAAGCTTCTTTTTTTCAATGAATATTCTTTTTACAAGTTGGAGTTTTCATCTTTTCACGCAAATAAAAAAAGCATATTAAATTTAATGTGTTTCAGATGAGAATAAGCTTGGATGAATTTCAAAACAGAAATATGAATGTAATACTTCTGTCAAATTCTGTCGCATACTAAATGATTCTAAGAATTACACTTAGTTAAGAAGTCCCCACCATTCCTGACTTCCCAGCTGTTCTGAGTTTATTGGAATGTTCCCATACCTAAGACCTTGAGGATGAAGTGCTTGCTGGCTTCTCCAGCATCATTTGAGGCAATGCAGGTATATCTTCCTGAATCTTCAGTCTCAGCTTTGATGAGCTGAAGGACCATTCCTTGAGTGTTGACTGTTAAATGAGCATCAAGCCCCAGGGGCTGGCCATCTCTGAGCCAGGACACACTGGGAGTTGGGGTTCCATCGGTAAAGCATGTCATGGAGGTGGAACTACCTCTGACAATTGTGATTTCCTCTGTTCCCATTGCATTGTCCAAGTTTGGTGGTACTAGGTAGAAAATAAAACAGGCAAAATTTGTATGTCATATTTATGTAAAATTTATATGTCAAGTTGAACTTCAAAATGCTCAAACAAGGATACAGGATCACCCATGGTCACAATGAGATGGACAAGACACTATGTAGAAAATAAACTTTGCAACTTGTAGGGGGAGGGGGAAATTAGAGAGGTGGAAAGGGAAGGGATGGTTGGGGAAAAACAAAGGAGGAGGTAATGTTTGATAGGAAATGTACTCATTACCTTATTCATGTAACTGTAACCCCTCTGTACACTATTTTTACAATAAAAACATAAAAAATTCCATAAGGTTTCTAGGGTCAATGAAATATACTTTATAAGAGGATATAGGAATTGATCATTCTACTAAAACCATCTATTAGGTGTGCTAATTATTAATCTTTCTAATATCAGCAATGAAAACTTACAGTTGTTTTCTTGGAGAATACAATGTGTTTTAAATTTTGGTGATTTTTTTAACTTCTTAAGTTTGTCTCTTCAATTTTTTATACTGTTATAATAATGGTTATAATAGTTCCAGTGGTATTTTTCAGCTATTCAGGTAGAACAATACTTATATGATCTAGAAAAAGTTTGTTATATTTCAGCATAAATTATAATATAGCATACAATTGCTTAATTGTTCTGAGATGTTTTGGGGGATGAGAAAATATGGAGCACTAAGTCTCTCTACTTCAGAAGTTGAATATTTTGAATTCTTTGCATATATATATATACACACACATAGATACATATATCTGTTCATATTTAAGTATTACAACTGCACTACTGGTGTTATTATGTTTATATGGCAGACTTGTTTGGTGTCTAGATTAAAAAGCCATTTTGGGAAACTATGTATCTGATTTAGTATAAAATTCTGGGCTAGGATAGTTTCTGACAGACATACAATAGTTCTGATAAATATCGACTCCTTAGGGGAAGATTGTCTTCCCTAGTCCATAAGATGCTTTTCTCCCAATTATTTTTGAGAGAGAAAGTATAATTTTTAAATCAGTGAGGAAACCAATTTCTAAAGGTGAGCCTGTGTCTTAGTACCAGGCTTAAATGAGGCATTTCTGTGACATACCAATCACCTGCAGGCTGTAATGCTTGGTGTCCACTCCAGCTCTGTTGGAGGCCACACAGGTATATACAGCCACATCGGACACCTGAGCTCTTACAATCCTGCAAAACAATTTAATCCAATGCTTCATCACTTCAACTCACTCAATATATACTCAGAAAATAATTAGGATTTGTATACAGATTAGAGAAGGTGATTTATTTTGAGAAATTTTAGTAAGGAAGCTTGTAACCACTCAGTAGAAGGTCGAGATAGCTGAAATGCAATTGATTTTATGACAATAATTATGCCGTGACACTATGCCACTATTTAATAACTATCAAATATTTGATATTTGATAACAATTACCATCTATTAAAGAATCAGTGTGGACCAATTCATTAAAACATGAGCCTTGAAGTAAGAATTTAAAAGTATTTTCATTTTATAGTTCTTGTCTTCCCCCTATGAAAAATACACTGAATGGGAGAGAGGCCTAAACAAGAGTAAAAGCTTAGAAGAAAGCATTTCTTAAACAATGTGTACATAAAGGCAAAGTTTCACGGTTATTTGAAATGTTTAGTAAATAAACCTCAATAGGCTAACCTGATAGCTTGCCCTGCAGACAGCAGTCTGACATGGGAAGAGAGAGGCAGAGGAAGGCCATTCTTCAGCCAGTTTATCTGTGGTGGGGGCGTCCCGGTGGCTCTGCAGTCAATATTTATGGAAGTATCTACCAATGCCATCAGCTTCTCAGCTTCTTCTTTATTACCTCTAATTTTGGGGGGAACTAGGTCATTCAGGAAGTACAAGAAAGAGAAGGCTGTATTAAGCACTCAAACAATTTCCACAATAATCACTTAAATCGCTGCTTGAATTCAGAAGGAAATGGCAGTGACACTCGATGTAAAGCTAAATCTTCCAGACAATGGTGGACCCCTAGTGCAGTTAAAAATTGGTATTTCATATTCACCATAGACATTCAGGTTAAATATCCGGTCTTCTTCTCCAGCAGGGTTGGTGGCCACGCATGTGTATTTCCCCATGTCAGACGGGAGGGCTCCATTAATGTTTAATGTACTGCCACTAGCAGTCACCCTGTGGAGCGGGCCACAAAAGAGGCACTAAGATGAATGTGGCGGTAATAGCCGCAAAACTCACTTCACGTTATTGCGTTCTCTAAAAATACCATCACAGAAGCGTCTCACAACTATTTCATTAAGTACATTGGAGCCTGGTGAAGAGTCAGAGCTAGAGAAATTGATGGAGATTTCAGACATCTAACTAAAATTACACAGAAACAGCTCTCAGATCTTTCATACTCATCACCTGCTTCAGGAAAAAAGGAGAAAAGGAAGAAATTCAGCTTCAAGATCTCTCTACCCAATTATGGGCAAAGACACCTTGTCTTCAGAATATTCTATTAGTAAGCCACAGGCTCACATTGTATCCTACCTACTCAAAGTGGTGGATTCTGGAGAACCAAAGTTTGAAGCCAGTTCAGACAGAAGAGTCAGCTAGACTCCAGCTCTAAACTAACTAGCAGAAAAGCTAAAGTTGAGATGGCTCAGGTTATAGAACTCCAGCCAAGCAAAGAAGTTAAATAAGCAGAAGGCTTTAAGTTAAACCCTGATACTGGGGGGAAAATCTATTCTTGGTTATCAATATAGTTTGAGTTAAATGAAATTACAAAAAAATTCCTCAATGTGAAGGAATAGAATAGGATAATTTATCTAAATGTGACAATTCAAATGTGAATATATTTTTTTCAATTTTTTTCTATAAATTGTTGAAGTTTTTCTTTTGAATTATGCAAAAGTAAATGAAAATTATGAAATTAGATAATCAAATATATCTAAGTTCTGATTATTACCTTATTTATTCTCTTCATACACCATTAATTCTCAGACAAAACTTCCTATGTTTTAATAGGTATGTTATATATAATTATTCTAGTAATAGTGATTTCATTAGCATTTCCCAAACTCAAAAGAAAATAGTACATTTTTAACATCCCCCATGTAGTATAATTTGACACTAATATTGAAAATTCCAGTAGTAATGTCCTGGTCTATTTGTACTTTTCAAAATTTAAAATTCCAATAATTTTACAAACTGAAAAGGTAAGCTGTGAAAATCGAGAAAAAAATAGTAAACTATTAATAAATTGCTCTATATAGTGAGGAGTAGTGAAGATAGAATCAATAAAGTTTATAGAAAAATAAGCAAATTAGGATGTTGAAGTAAGGGACAGGACCTAGACTCCTAGGTTCAAATATTATCTTAGATCTTCAGGTATTTCCCCATATATGTAGTACTTCCTCTGGAATAAGGCCAATATTTGCTTATTACTAATAATAATTAAATACTCATCAGTTAGTCAAAACATTAACATAAGAGAAATGTTATCTAAAATGTCTCTAGAACATGATTACTCCAAAAATATGAGACACATTTTAACATAAAATGAACCCAAAGAAAATAACACTTACCAACACTACAAACCATTAAAATTAAAATACTTGTTCAAGATGATATATTTAATAATGCATTCAGTTAATGTCTATTTATACTTATAACTAATTTGGTAAATAGTAATATATTATATGTTTAATAATATAGTAATTTGGCATATGATAGGGATAACTGTGAGAAAATTATCTTGTAGTATACAATTCTGGATTGTCCTGAGGGAATTTGGTGTTGACAGAAGCAGGAAGTTCTCAAGCTTTATTTTTCTATCTCTTTTGTGAGTAGTGTAAGTCTCAGCTGAAAGTGAAATTTGGAAAAGCCACTATGAGGAATGAACTGGGTTATGGTATTGTATCTTGACTCATTAAATGAGCTGAACAATATGGTATGTATGCAGTTTGATGGTATAAGACAAGAAATTAAAGTTAGGATTGCTGACAAATCTTTCTAGGATGAAGTTGCTTTGACTTTAGTAGGAAAGAAGAATTATTTTATGTCAGACACTTTGATAAGACATCCCCAAATTAGAGAAATATAACCAATGATTGTTAACTATCAGCTTAAGGAATGACAGCCCAAAGAGATTTTATAATATTTTATAATACAGCAATGGATAAGATTCACATATAAGCATACAGTTGAGCGTTCTTTAAAGAGAACTGCGTCCAATTCCACAAAAATTGATCTTTTGACTTCATGAATGAAATGATAGTGACATTCTAGTAAGGGTTGGTACTACGATTCATGTGAAATATGAAATGTAAAGCATTGTATAAGGCTTTACCATTTACAGTAAAAATATTCACATTCCAAACATACCTGACTCTTTCTGTCTCACCATTCACTATGGGCTTTCCATCTCTAAGCCATTGAATAAGTGGGGTGGGAATGCCATTGGCATTGCAGACCAGCTCAACATTTTCCCCCAGAAGGACACTGATTTCACTGGGAACTTCAGCACCAGCAACACTTGGAGGAACTTTGGAGAAATACAAATATTTAGAACTTTTTTTTGTTGTTGTTGGTCGTGGGGCTTGAACTCTGGGCCTGGGCGCTGTCCCTCAGCTCTTCAGCTCAAGGCGAGCGCTCTACCACTTGAGCTACAGCGCCACTTCCGG